ACCTCGCCGAGCGCTTACCTCACGCCTGGGAACAGGTCGCACCCTCAGCCGTCATTATCACGTCAGTCACCTCAGCTGGTGACTGGGTCTGGCGGCGGCGCGGTTGGGCTGGGCTGGGCTGGGCTGGGCTGGGCTGGGCTGGGCTGGGCTGGGCTGGGCTGGGCTGGGCTGGGCTGGGCTGGGCTGGGCTGGGCTGGGCTGGGCTGGGCTGGGCTGGGCTGGGCTGGGCTGGGCTGGGCTGGGCTTGAATGGGATGGGATGGGATGGGATGGGATGGGCTGAGCTGAGCTGGGCTGAGCTGAGCTGAGCTGGGCCTGGCCGGGCCGGGCTGGGCTGGGCTGCACTGGTTCGGGTGAGGTGGCGTCAAACGGTACCATAGGTAGTCGGACGGTACCACTGACGGTACCACTGGCAGACAGTACCACCGGCAATCAGACGGTACCATTTGCGGTCAGACGGTACCACTAGTAGTCAGACTCTATCACTGGTAGTCAAACGGGCCCCCGTGTCATCGGCGTTATTGGTGCCGCGTTGCTCCACTGGCGGCAGACCTAGGGCTCAGTCTCGAGGTTTGCAGCTGTAACCGGTGGGATTGGGCCGAGCGCGGTCCGGGACATGAGCTCGTATCGCGCTCCAATGCTCCAGGCCTCCTCTGCCTCACCTGGCCTGCCGGCCGGTTGGCCGCGTGCCGATTTGCCGTGTCGAGCCTTGTCAGGCCCTCACCCGCGCCGGCAGCTGCCGTATCGGGCTCTGACCCGTGCCGGCGGCTGCCGTGTCGGGCTCTGACCCGCGCCGGCGGCTGCCGTGTCGGGCTCTGACCCGCGCCGCCAGCTGCCGTGTCGGGCTCTGACCCGCGCCGGCGGCTGCCGTGTTGGGCTTTGACCCGCGCCGGCAGCTGCCGTGTCGGGCTCTGACCCGCGCCGGCGGCTGCCGTGTCGGGCTCTGACCTGTGCCGGCGGCTGCCGTGTCGGGCTCTGACCCGCGCCGGCGGCTGCCGTGTCGGGCTCTGACCCGCACCGGCAGCTGCCGTGTCGGGCTCTAACCCGCGCCGGCGGCTGCCATGTCGGGCTCTGACCCGCGCCGCCAGCTGCCGTGTCGGGCTTTGACCCGCGCCGGCGGCTGCCGTGTCGGGCTTTGACCTGCGCCGGCAGCTGCCGTATCGGCCTCTGACCCGCGCCGGCGGCTGCCGTGTCGGGCTCTGACCCGCGCCGGCGGCTGCCATGTCGGGCTCTGACCCGCGCCGCCAGCTGCCGTGTCGGGCTCTGACCCGCGCCGGCGGCTGCCGTGTCGGGCTTTGACCTGCGCCGGCAGCTGCCGTGTCGGGCTCTGACCCGCGCCGGCAGCTGCCGTGTCGGGCTCTGACCCGCGCCCGCGCCGGCGGCTGCCGTGTCGGGCTCTGACCCGTGCCGGCAGCTGCCGTGTCGGGCTCTGACCCGTGCCGGCAGCTGCCGTGTCGGGCTCTGACCCGCGCCGGCGGCTGCCGTGTCGGGCTCTGACCCGTGCCGGCGGCTGCCGTGTCGGGCTCTGACCCGCGCCGGCGGCTGCCGTGTCGGGCTCTGACCCGCACCGGCAACTGCCGTGTCGGGCTCTAACCCGCACTGGCAACTGCCGTGTCGGGCTCTGACCCGCGCCGGCAGCTGCCGTGTCGGGCTCTGACCCGCACCGGCAACTGCCGTGTCGGGCTCTGACCCGTGCCGGCGGCTGCCGTGTCGGGCTCTGACCCGCGCCGGCGGCCGCTGGGTCGGGCTCCGAACCTGACCCTGGCCGGCCGGGGCCTCACACGGGACGGTGGGCTCGGCTGCCGTGTCGTGCACCACGCCGCCGGCCGGAGACTGATCTGATCACATCGGCCCCAGCCCATGTCCGGGAGGTGTGGTGATGAGTCGCGTGTTTTGTTACGTGCTGAGAGCTGTTTTTCCATTGGGGTAGGATAGGCCAGCCGGAGGGGCTAGGTCAGCTCTGTGACATGTAACGCCTTGCATGATGCTTCATCATGCGCCCGTTACGAGGCGTGTTTGTAACTGCTGCCACAGCGCGCGAGATTTACGGGCATTTCTGCGGTGGAGACTGGAGTAAATTTCCGCGCGTCCGGATCCAGCGGCCCATATAACTCGCATTCTAGCGAGATCTAATCACGAACGGGGCTTATCTGGCGCCTGAAGCTGAGTACGCGGTGTCGGATGGGGATGACACTAGGTCAGGATGTTTTGGGGTGCAAGGGAGAATATTTTGTTGAGCAGAATGGTGTGAAAGAGGGGGAGGAACGGGCCTGGATTGTCTCCCTGGCATGTTTGCACTGGTAAGTGTCGGGGCAGTCAGGGAAAGGGTCCGGAATGGTTAGTCTGCGGCCTTTTGTGAAGACATGGACGGAACAGCATGAAGCGAACGACCAAGCCACTGTATAAATTGACTCAAAGGAAGCAGCAGATCGTTTATGAATGGGCGGGAAATGGCTTTATGATGCCGGGCGACACCAAACACGGCCATCACTGGGCCTCGCGTGGCCGGATCGCAAGCTGTCGCGGACCCCCAACCCTAACTCCACCTCCTCCTTGACTGCAGCGCGAGCAGGCCCCCCTCCCCCCCCCTCCATCGACTTATTGGAGGGTGTCACGCAAGCAGGGACGGCCGCGGTTGTGATCGACCGTAACACGCGGGGCTGGGCTGCAGATCAAGCGTGGCCGAGCCCGGCGCCACGCCGGCTCCAGAAACACGCCACGCGACGTGATGACGTCAGATCGGTCGCCCGCCGGAGAGGCGGAGATAGTGAACGGCGCCTCGAGGCCACGCGTTGATGGCCAGATTGCCCCTTCCTCGAACGGGACCATTGTTGGGCGGGTTTGGAAGCGGAAAGGCAAAGGACGGGTGGTCTTGCAGCACGTCGGTGGAGCCTTGCCGGTCTGTGGCTCCGGTGGCGGCGGCAGTACACGTGCCCGTGTGACGTGGTCCCGGGCTCGGCTGGCGGTCGCGCCCTGCAGGGCACCGAGACAGCGTGAACCGTGTTAGCCGGAACATGTTCAAAAGACTGGGATTGGCCGCGTTCGTCTGCGGCTTCTGTTTGAAACCGTTTGACAGGCGAGGATGCATTGGCTGCTCTGTTCGGGACCCGAGCCGGCAGCGGAAGGCCGAACACTTTTCAGATCAGATCACGGTGGAAACCGTTGCGACAGCTCATTCGGAAACAGGACCGTCCGCCTGTGGGAAGTCTCCTTTACTGACATTACATTACATAGATTACATGCATACATACGCACATTACATACATTACATTATTTTACTGACACATTCGGTGTCACATTTTTTTGTCAAGATAAAGCGCAAAAGACATGATTGAATGTGCTCGGTTGCACCTATTGAGTATGGAAACGTGCCCAACTGAACTGGTTTTATGTTTTGACACTCCCAAATGACTGCGGAATCAAAGTCGCCTGAACGTTGTGTGCGGTTGAAATTAAGACATGAACTCCACCGGGTCCTCGGGCTCGCTGCCTCCGAGATTGGAGGAGGTTCGTCTGCCAGCTGCTGCGCCGTCCGATTGCAGCCGTTTCTGGTTAACAGCCGCCGCCGGGCCGGCCGAGTAGTCCCCGTTAACACGCGCGTCGCCGGCCGCCCGGCCCGCTCTGCGCCCTGCCTCTCCCCTGGACCTGCTCGGGGCCCGACCGACGTTGTCGACCCCTCGGCGGCCTCGTCTGACCGACTGCGCGGCTGCAGTCTCCTGAGTGACCCCGATCGGGGAGCGGCCGGCCGACTGACTGCGAACGAGTCTGTTATCGGCGGGCCCGGCCCGGCCGCCGAGCCCAGCCGAGCCGAAATAGCTCAGTCCAGCACCGGCCGGGGCGGACCTGTGGAGCGAGCTTTCAGTTTCCGGGGTGTGCCGTTCGGGTCCTCAGCCCGAGCGACCTCGGATCAGGTGCGCAGCCGTCGAGAGCAGGCTTTCCGGGATCGGATCGGGGCGTTGGTGAGTGCGTGGTTCGGGTCCAGAGCCAGCCTGACGGTGCAGGCAGGGCCTCGCCACGTGTCGCCCTGCCAGAGTCCACTGTGCGGTCTGGACTAGTCGTGTGGGTTTCCCGTCCACCCTGGCCACGGCCGCGGCTGTGTGACACTACGCTCCTACCGGTGGACCTCGGCCCGGCCTGGGGCGCGGCCGGACGAGCGGCCCGGATCAGCGGCACATACCGCCCGCTAATGAGATGTCGTCGGTGCCGGCGGCCGGAGACGCGGCGCCGGGCGGCACTGCTCCCGCGGGGCTCGTCCCGCTGCCGGCCGCCCCTGGTCAGCGACGGACGCCCGATAGCCTGTCACGCCCCCGGGAAGGGGAGCCGTCATCAGGCAACCGGCTCGGTGGGCCCGGCGCGGCGGAGCGCAGTGCGGCGCGGTGCTCTCTGTACGAGTCTGCGACATCCGGCGCTCCGTTTGGCTGCCGTCCTGGTCGGCCTGAATGGAACGGCCCGCTGGCAGCGTTGACTGCTCATAAATCACGCGTTGTTCTAACCGTAGCCAACATGAAATTGGCGCGTGGTTTAACTGTGCCCCCTAAACATTAGCAATCAGTCCAGCGAGGCTTGGCATCGCTAAGCCTGTGTTCTTTGCGGGGCCCGGACGACTCTCGCCAGCTGTCAAGCACTGCCCTCGCCCAGTTGGGAGCATATTCCATGTATAAATACATACGAATTCCCGCTGCTCCAGCCCACCACACCGAGCGAACCGATTAGACCCGCTCTCGTCAGCCCGTGCGACAGGCAAGCCGGCGCTCTCGTGCTGCCGCGCCGGCGGCGCCGCCCCGCACGTCTCGAGCCCGCCTCCGCCGACCGGCTGCCTGACGCCGTCCCTCGCGCCCGCAGGACCTGCAGCAGGCGTTCCGGCCGCGGCTCGAGCTCTACAACGTGCAGCTGCAGCCGGCCTCGCAGTCGGCGACGGCCCACGTGCGCCAGCCGGAGCTGCTGGAGGAGGCGGCCCGGTACGCGGACGTGCGGCTGCCGGGCGCCGCCGGCCCGCTGGCCGTCAGCCTCTCGGCCACTGACGGCCTGCTGTGCACGGCCCGGCTGCCGGCCGCGCTCACCGACGACGAGCTCACGCGCACCGCAGAGATGTTCGGCCCCGTCCGCTTCGCCTTCGTGTTGCGCTCCGAGACGACAGGTGAGCGACAGCGGCTCGGCGCGGCGCGATCTGGTCCGGCCCGCCCTGGCCTGGCCTGGCCTGGCGTGGCGGCGACGGAAGCTGCCCGGCGCGGCGCGGCCTGGCCTGGTCTGGTCTGGCCTGGCCTGGCCTGGCCTGGCCTGGCCTGGCCTGGCCTGGCCTGGTCTGGTCTGGCCTGGCCTGGCCTGGTCTGGTACGGCCTGGTCTGGCCTGGCCTGGTCTGGCACGGCCTGGCCTGGTCTGGCGACGGCCCGGCGGCATTGGACGCCGCCGCTTGACGCGTAATCCAGTCTGGGATCGGCGATCCGGGGCGGCCGGCGTGTCTGGCCGTGACCTGGCCAGTGTCAGTCGCCGGCCGGCCTGGCTAGCGGCGCGTGATTGGCGCCGGCCGGTCCGGCCAGCGGCGTGTGATTGGCGCCGGCCGGCCGGTGGTCGGCGGCACGCTCCGCCCCGCCGCGGCCGGGGATCGGGGACCGGACGAGACGCGAGGGAGGCGATGCGGCGCCCGCCTAACCGGTCGGGAGGGCGGCCGGAGACGACTCGTCGGCGGCCGGAGCGAGTCGGTGTTACTGATGTACCCGGGGCGTGGTGGCCGCCGCGACCAATCTCGGTGACCGTGGCCGTGGCCTCGCACGCCGTCACGGCCGCAGGGGGGCGGGGGCACGGCTGCGATGCGCCGCGACCCTGACCTTGACCCCGCTCCGTATGCGTGCCGGGGTCGGCTGGCGGTCACTGCCGCACTGCTAGCCGCAGATGACAGGCAGCTCGCTCCTCTTCGCTGGGCTCCCGCACTTTCAGTTAGCCAGTCGCTCTCGGCTCGTCTATGATTTAAGAGCGGGTGGGCTTCGTCATTTGATCAACGAATCAGCGCCTATCTCTTAAGATTACGTTTTCATTGGACGAGGCGGCGCCCGTCTGCACTGGCGGGGGCCTCCCGCGCCGTGTTTGGACTGGCGGCTCGACGAGAGGACCGATCTCTCGAGTCACTGCCGATGTAAGGAGGCGCATGTGTGGTTGGCCTGGCCGGGTGTCCAGGTGATCACCGGTCGTCGAGCGGGTAACCAAGTGATGATCAGCTGCCCAGCGGGTGACCAGGTGATCATCGGTCGCCGAGCGGCTGAACAGGTGATAACAAGTCGTCTATCGGGTGGCTGGTGATCATCGATCACCGAGCCAGTGACCAGGTGATTACCTGGTCACCGAGCAGTTAATTAGGCGATCACCGGTCGTTGACCGGTTGACCATGTGATCACGGGTTGCTGACCGGGTGATCACGGGTTGCTGACCGGGTGACCAGGTGATCACCGGTCGTTGACCGGGTGACCAGGTGATCACCGGTCGCCGACCGGGTCCCGTCATCAGTATTCGGTACCGGCCGCGGCCCGGCTGGCGCGCGCGCACGTTCGCTCACCCGCTCGCTCGCTCGCTCGGTCCGCGCTCAGCCACTGGCCGTACCGGCCAGCGCGGCCGCCCAGCTGTCCCGGCGCTGCCGCCCGCTCGGTGCACTGACTGACGCGTCCCCGCGCCGCCGCAGGTGCCAGCAAGCGCTACGGCTTCGTCATGTACGCCAGCAAGGAGGCGGCGTTCCACGCTAAGAGCCTGCTGGACGGCAAGGTGGTGGGCGGCGCTGCGATCCTCTGCGACTGGGTGGATCCGACGCACACCACCCTGAGGTCAGCCGGGCGGCCGCCGCCTCCGCCGCGCTGCTCTGCCTGCCGCGCGGCGCCCGCCCCTCTGCCCCCGCTCCCCACTTTATCTGTCTCTTTCTGTCTCTTTCTGTCTCTTTCTCCACTCGCTGTCGCGCCGGCTCTGCGTCCCATCCCTCTTGTCTTTGACCTCTTGTTTCTCGTTGATTGCCTCTCGTTTCTTGCCCCTGGTCTCTTGACTCTTCTCTCGTGTCTGCGGTCGGCGGAGCTGACGCGCGCGCGCGCGCGCGCCCCGGGCTGCCTGCCGATGTTGCCTGCGTCTTGTTCAGCCCCTGTTCTCTCCTCCTGTAGTTAACGCCCTTGGCCTCTTGTGATTTTCAGATCTTTGCATTCCAAGTGTTTGCACGTCGCGAACCTGCCAGCCGGCTATAAGAATATGGGCGAATTTAGGCAGCTATTCTCTTGCGTACAAAACCCTCCTTATTGCCAAGTAAGTATGCGTTTTTTACTTACTGTAGCTGCTTCCATAGTGGACCCGCCGAGTATGCTTGACTACTTCGTTTATTGCTCTGTTTGCTGACCACATTTCATTTTCGTTTGGCATTCTTGACTTGTGCGGTTACCATGGAAGAAGCTCTTGTTTTTAATTACGCCATATTTTGTTCTGTGCGTGCGTGTCCTCTTGACCGTCAATCACTGCGCGCTGTATGTAAAATGCCTGCTTTAACATGGAGTAGCCACCTCCGTCTGGCGGAACTGACCAGCTCTTGACATCTCTCTGTCTCTGTCAGTGCCTTTGCTCGGTGGTTCGATTCGCCCACTGTCCGCCCGCTTGCCTTGCCGCCCAGTATTCCAGGACACCGCAGGAGCCGCCGGCGCCGACCGGCCGCGCCACCGACCGGTTGAGGAGCCCCTGTCCTGACCTGACCTGACCTGACCTGCCGGTGTTGTCCGCACCGTCTGCCCCCGCACGCCGCGGCCGGCGCCAGATCGGCCGGCGGCGTCTCCGCGCTCGCTTGGCAGCGGCCGTGCGGCGCACACTGAGCCTCTGTTCGGCCTCCTGTTTGCGGTTGCTGTTCTCGGGCGGCGGCCCGTTGTTTGTGGAGCGGCGGTAACACGCGTGACGCCGCGCGGCCGAGCGACGGAACACAGGTGCGGCCGGCGTCTGTTTATCGTCCCGACACGGCGGCCCTGATTGACGAGCGACGGCGACGGTGGCGCCGCCGCGCGGCACCGGCCGACGGCGCGGTTTGGGCGGCGGCTGCGTCGGTCGGCCGCCACGAGCGCTGACGAGACTGCCGGGAGGCTCCGTTCGGGTCCCGCGGCGACTCTGTCGGCATCCGACGGGGCCTCGGGGCCTCCGTCGGCCCCGCCGACGCCTGGCGCTGCCGGCGACGCAGGGTACCAGCCGTCCTCCCCCGCGGGGCTCCGGTGTTTGACCGACAGTTCAGTCACCACGACGCCCGTGAATGCGGATGGCTCGGACATAGTGCCACAGCGTGGCTTGCACCCTGACACTCGCGCTGTAAAAGCCTGCCGCGACTGAGCACCGTGTGAACCGGGCCGACCGTCGCCGGTCTGCTGCTCAACCGGTGGCACATTGCCGTCGCGTCCAGCGGCGTGTGTAGGGCCGAGAGGTTCGGATGGGCCGCGGGAGCCTCCCGCCGAGATCGATCGACCCCGGTGTATGTGCGCCTGTCGCTGGGGGCGGGGTGAGTCGTGAGCGGCGCGCTCCGAGGCACCACTCTCGGCGCGGCCGCTCGCGTCGCAGCGCCGGCCGCGGCCGCCAGGTGACCCGGCGGCGGCGTATTGATTCCAAACAGGCAATCCCGGTCGGTGGCGGCCCGCCGGCGGGCGTCGCCGAGAGCGCCGCTCGAGCACGCCGGCCAGCATTATTGTCGGCTCGAGCGGCGCTCTAATCACCCGCCGTCGGCCGCCGTCGGTCGCCGCGGCGCATGGCGTCGTTAATTACGGCGCCGCGGCCGACCCGAGCGGCGCGCTGAACGCCCCGATCGCACGCTACCGGCTCGCGGCGTGTCGACCGGCCGGCCGCTATCGCCGGCGCCAAGCGGCGGCGCTCGCTGGCCGCCGGCCGGCGCGGCGGGAGCGGTAACTCGGAGCGACGCGGCTATTCGGCCGGTGTAACAAGTGCCCGGCGGCCGACAGAGCCGACCGTGCCCTGCCCCGCGGCAGCGGCCGGCCGACCGGGCTCGCAGCGACCCGGACTGCCAAGATGCTAGGCCGTCGACGCCACGTATGAGGTCATGCCCCATAGATTCTGCGCCGTTCGGAGTTCGCAGCGACCCGGACGGCGAAGATTCTACGTGACGTCACGCAGAAAAGAACGTTGTTGACTTGCTGCGAATACGCCGGACGTCTCCGGTCCGGCCAGCAGCCGCTGGCGGACTGGGCCAACCCCGGACCTCGTGGGGGCGTGGCTGGTACACCGGTGCAGGGCCGCCCACACAGCGAGCGTGTCTCCGTCAGCAGGCACGGCAGGCAGCAGTCACACGGACTGTCAGACCGCCTGACAGCAGCAGCAGGTCGGGGCCCGGCGCGGCAGGCCGGCCCGTCAAACCGTCTGACAGCAGCAGCAGATCGGGGCCCGGCGCAGCGGGCCGGCCCGTCAGACCGTCTGACAACAGCAGCAGGCCGGGGCCCAGCGCGGCGGGTCGGCCGGTCAGACGGGGTGGGGGCGGGCCGGCGCCGGCGACGACACCGACTCGTCGGCCGGTATCAGCGCGCCGACGGTCGGTCATTACTTAGCGGCCCAGGCGGCCGGCCTGATACGCTCGCCAGGCAACTCTCATTACTTAGCGGAGCGGCTCGGGGCGCACGGCGCGGTCCGGCCGGTCCGATCGTGGTCCGATAGACACGCCACGCGACAGTCGTTAGCCGGCGGATGAGCGGTCTGGTGCTCTGAGGCCCGGCCTGGTGCCCCGAAGCCCGGTCTGGTGCTCTGAGGGCCGGCCTGGTTCTCTGAATCCCGGCCTGGTGCTCTGAGGCCCGACTGGGCGTCTAGAGCTCCGTGTAGCGAATCACTCGCTGGTCGTTATGAGTCGACCAACAAAGCTATCGAGCCTCGCTCGTGCGCGAGCGGATAGCTCTAGTTGGCTCGGTGCGTCCATTTTTCATTGATCAGTTCGGAGGAGCGAGCCGTGAACGCTAGTGCTGCAGCGGCACGGCGGCACTAATCAGCACGAGAGAGCGGGTTTCGTCCAGTGAAGCAAAGATGCTTTGCTGATTTCTCGACTTTCATCTTTCCTTGGTAACAGTTGAAGGCATTGTTGGCTCCTCACGGAACTTCGGGTGAACCGTCGCAAACGACCATGTCCGTAACACCGCCTCGTTCGTAAGTAGCCGTTTCGAGCGCGGTAATCCCAGTGCGCCGGCGCGTGACCTGGCTCACACCGCTGCCCCTGACTCACACACGCCGTCCGATGCCTGGTGACTGGACCCCTCGCGCCGCCGGCTGACGGGTGCGGCCGTGTGGCTGTTAAGCCGCCCGTCCCGGTCCTCTTTCCCACGTCCTCGCGCGCTGGCCCGAGTCCTCCCCTGCGTCACCGGCCGCTGCTCGGTGTATTTGTCCTGTCTTGCGGGCCACTGGCCGCGGCTCCGGTCCGACTCCCAGCGGCCGGGAGCAGCCCTGACCGGGGCGGCGCGACTCGGCCGCTGGCCGCGGCTCCGGTCCGACTCCCAGCGGCCGGGGGCAGCCCTGACCGGGGCGGCGCGGCTGGGCCACTGGCCGCGGCTCCGGTCCGACTCCCAGCGGCCGGGAGCAGCCCTGACCGGGGCGGCGCGGCTCCGGTCCGACTCCCAGCGGCCGGGGCGGCGCGACTCGGCCGCTGGCCGCGGCGTCGGTCCGACTCCCAGCGGCCGGGAGCAGCCCTGACCGGGGCGGCGCGGCTCGGCTGCCGGCAGTGCAACTGCGCCGGTCGCGTCTGCCGGCCGGCCGATTGACTGCCGGTTCGTTAATTTGGGTCGGCTGACCTTTTCAAGCGGGCCGTATCAATTTCGCCACGAGCTACAGACAGCGGGCGTGTCGGGGCGGAGATAGGGCGGCGGCTGCCGCGCGCTGGCAGCTGGGCCCGGGGCGGCACCGGTACCGACGCTGACCCCACAACTGCGTCATTCGCAGATCGCCCTGAAGAACGGCTCGCCTCAAGACTGGGGCCTGGTGGAGTTTATGTCGGCGGAGGTGGCCGAGCGCACGCAGCAGCGCATGGCGAACCACGTGCTGCGCGGCAGCCAGCTGGAGGTGCACTTCTGCATGCCGGGCGTGCGCGCCATCGACATCTACATGCGACTGCTGAACGAGTCGGCGGCGCCGCGCGCGCGCTCGGCGCTGCTGCCGGACCCGCCGGCGCCGGCCGTCTACCAGCAGATGAAGAACCTCAGCCAGCAGAACCCGGCGTTCGCGCAGAACCTGCAGAACATCGTGACGTCGCAGATCTCCGAGCTGCAGCAGGAGATGGCGCAGGCGCAGAGCGGCTTTGCGCCGCCGCCGCCGCCGCCTCCGCCGCCGCCGGCACCCCCGACGTCGGCGCCACCGCCGCCGCGGCCGCCGCCGGCCGTGTTAGGCCAGCCGCTGCTGTTTCCGGCCGGCATGGTGGGGCTGATGCCGCCGCCGCCGCCGCCGCCCAGCGCCCATCTTCGACATGTAGCGCCGCCGGTACGTGCTCGGACGCTCCCCCCCCCCGCCCCCCCCCCCGCTGTCCGCAGGCTACTCCCGGCGGGGGGAGGGGGGCTTCGCGGTCCGGTGTTGTGCAGTGCTATGTCGTCATGTCATGCGGTGTGAGATGAACGTCTTCTTTGGCGCCACTTTGTGATGCATTCACGCCTTTGGTTACGAGGAAAACGACTTTACCAGCGCCTAATTCGCTGGCGTGGGTAGTGGTGCTCCTCATAGTGTACACACGGTGTCGGGCACGCACACATCCTGCACTAAGGCTTTTCACGTAAAAGACCATCTGATGGGCGAGGTCGTGAGGAAAAGGGTGATGCCAGTTAAGACTGATTGTGTGGCAATATGGAGACCGTTCAGTCTCTGAAAGCGCATATAATGGCGCCATCAAATATTCTTAGAATTCGTTAATAGGCGAAAAGGGCGAGGCCATTAGGAAGTTAAAGGTCGATTGCAGAGTAAAAGCTCAGGGGCTTTCATATCTGCGAGGCGGACGTTGAAGGTCACGATCGGAGAACGCTGCCAAAACAGACTTCCAATGCCCAGGCTCACAAAATGAGATCCCCATCCCCCATCGTCCGGCAGCGCGGCGTCTCGCCCGGGCGTCGCCCCCCCCCCCCCCCCTCCCCCTTATCCGCCGCTGCTGCCGACACCATTTGGCCGCCAGTTAATGAGTGCCGGCCGGGTCATCGGCTGAGCTGGGCGACGGCGTGGGAATAGTCCGGGGTCACCAGTCGTTAGTACGCCTGATTCGGCCCGGGCCCAAATGTCACGGCGCGTTGCCGCTGCACCGATTTAGCCTGGGGGCGCGCGGTTGGCGGGCCGGCCGCCCCATCACCATGCGCAGCCCCGCCCCCGTCGCGTTCTGCCGTCGCTTGGCTGTAACACCGCACCGCTGCGGTTGGACTCCTGTGGTTTAGCTGGCGTCAGTTACGTGCGGGTGTCAGCGGGGCATTCTCAGCCAAACATCGCGGTGTTTGAACCCCACGACCGGCAGAGCGGCGTTGCCATGCGTGGCGGTGCTCATTGCTCACTACTGCTAGTACTCATACTGCTTATTGCGCGCTTGCATTGCTAACACTCGGCTGTTGTTTTGATGCGGGAGGACGCGCGTTTGTGCGCTGGGACGAGCGTTGGCCGGTGGCGGCGCTGTGCTCTGGCCGCCGGCGCGTCTGACCGCCCGCCTCAGGCCGCCAGAAGCTGACCGGACGCACGCGTTCTCTCCGTTGCAGTACTTCCTGCCGGGTCTGGGCAGTCCGCTGCTGCAGGGCGGGTTCGCCGGTGGACAACTGGTGCCACCCGTCTCGGTGGCCGGCTCGCTGATGCTGCCGCCGCAGCCGGTGGCCATGTTGCCGCCGCCGCCGCCGCTGGCCGCCGCCGACCCCGTCACGCAGATGAGCGACGAACTGCAGAGCACCATCTCCTCGCTGATGAGCAAGGCACAGGGTCTGAACCAGCTGCTGGCGCTGGTCAACGGTCAGAAGGCGGCAGCGGCGGCGGCCGCCGCAGCTGCCGCGCCCATGCCGCCCACGCCGCCTGCCGACGACTCGTCGCAGTACGTGAGCTCCCTGCTGCAGGCGCTCCAGAGTGCTCAGGCGGCGTCGGCGTCGGCGGGTGCCGCCGCCGTGTCGGCCGCCTCGCCCGTGTTCAGCATGCCTAGCCCGCTGGGCGGCTCGCCGGTCACGCCGCAGGGCCAGAAGCGCAAGTACCATCACCTGTTGCCGTCGCCCGAGCCGTCCCCGGAGACGGACTTCGTCGGCCAGCACTCGCAGGGGCTCGGCGGCCACTACGCCGAGACCTATCTCAAACGCAAACGCTACTAGCAGCGCCAACGCGCCGAGCCGGGCTCGTCGCCCCGGTCCGGTCCGGTCCGGCCCGCGGCTGGCGGCGCTGCTCTGTCGGGGCGCGGGCCGCGCCGCACCAGGCACGCCGCGTCCAATCTTCTGTCTCTGTCCGTGTGGCGACTCGACTGTTTGTTTGTCCCCTGTCCCTCGCGTCGCACGACGACCCGCGGCAAACTGGACGGCCCGTGCGACCGCCATCTTAATCGGGTGCCTTTGGGAAGAAGCTTTCACGAGATTAACTTCCGTCTTCGCGCTGTCGTCACGTCGCACACACAAAGCCGGGCGAGTTTGCTGTCAGGTGATAGCGGGTTTGGGAACGCCGTGTCCGACTCGTTTTAAATCGGTGGTCGCGACCGAAGGCTCTATTTTGTACATATGCCTGGGTTGGCGGCGGGCAAGTGGTACCTGCAACGCGGCAATTACCAGTCTCACTGGCTCCTCTCTGTGTGCATCCGTTTTGTTACGTAGCCCTTGGGCATTTTACTTGGCTGCTTGTTTGCTCGGACTTTGCCGTCTCTGTTGGACGACAGTGTGTTGACGCAGGTGTACATGCATGATCTCATCCGGCGAGGTGGGTGAAAATTCGGCGCTGGGCATTTGGCCGGGGCAGAGCGCGTCTGGCCGTTGGGTGTGCGCCGCCGCCATCAACCGAGGACCAAGCGCCCGTCGTCTGGGCGCCACACCCCGCTGTGACTCCGGCTTCCGGAGCGGGCTGCGCGCAGGCCGGCCCGCCCCACTCACTCGCGAGATCAAACCCCACTTCATACGCACGCCAACGGACCGCGCTCTGCGTACGTGTGCTTATGTGTGTATGTGTGCGTGCGTGTGTGCGCGGTCGGGAGAGCGAGGTGTACCGTTTTACCCAGCGTGGCCATTTTTGTACGAGCGCAGCGTTGAACTGCGCGCGCGCGCTGTCTCGTGCTGACGTCCAGGGCGGTGCCGGCCGCCGCGCCGCTCTAGCTGTTGTCCGTTCCGCACTGTCCCACCCGGCGTGCCAATATATATATACTCAGCCCCCGCCTTCTTGCCTTTGTCTGTCTCCGTCCACGCCTGAGCGACTGAAAACGGACGTGGTGGTGATGTCACTCCCGCTTGTGTCAGCGGGCGTGATGGCGACGTCACACCCGCCTGTATTAGCGGGAGGCCGCGCTCAATGCCACCGAAAGACACAAACGAGACAAACGCCGTTTATTCAGACGTTTTCCTCTTCTTCGCCGGAATAACTTGTGCCTCTTTCTTCTCCATCTTGAGCCTTTCTTCCTTCTTGCTCATGTAGGTAGACACGTTGTCGAACCACTGCTTGAACAGCCAGCTCACCTGCTGTGCCATCTCGAAGGTACCTGGAACGCCAGGCCCTCGTCAGCACACACACACCCCACTCCCACCTGTCCTAGGGTCGGCGGGGGCGCGTCCCTATCGGTCACGACCCCCTGAGCAGCGATCATCGGACGAGGGGAGGCACCAGCGCGCCCCGGCAATATCGCCTCGCTAGCGACGCTGCGCACACGACAGCCGCAGTCAAAAGCTTCATGACTAGGCATGGGCTCCAAACGTGCGGGATCCTAATACATCCGCGCTACCGCGGTTTTCTACTCGAGCGCTGAAAAAGGCGCGAGCGCGTAACCCTCGGCGCGCCATGTAGCGCTGGCCATCGCGCCGTGCCCCGTCCGAAGTACCTTGCAGCTGGGGCGTGAGGGTGGCGGCTGCGGCGGCGAGCGGTCCGTCGGGCAGCGGCCGCAGCCGGTCGCCGTCGGCGGCGGCGGCGAACACGGCCAGCGGGCCGGCCGTGCCCAGGCCCGGCCCCAGCACGTACAGCCGGCCGGCGGCGGCCGCCACCGCCCAGGGGGCCGCCGGCAGTCGCAGCGGTGGCAGCGGCGTCACAGAGTGGCCGCTCACGGAGAACACGGGCATCTGGCTCCAGCTGTGGCACGGGACACGCTGACAGCACTGAGACACGGACATCCGACTACAGCTGACAATAACACGGACATCCGACTCCAGCTGTCACAACGACACGGACATCCGGCTCCAGCTGTCACAATAACAGACCCTCGACACCAGCTGGAGTTGGAGAACAGGTACAGTGACTATGACCCGGATGATGATGATGATTTGGGCTTTCGGCCCACCGACTACGTTGGTCATATGGCGACCATACTATAGCCCGGGCATCCGACCCAAGCTGTGACAAGTGACCGGACATTCCTAACACTGACATCCTACTCCAACTGCAGCACAGGGAGTGGTGGGAGCACGGATATCCGATTACAGCTGTGACACTGGGACGGACAGCATTAATAAGCTGGACACGCTACTCCAGCTGGGGCACCGGCCACACACGTGTCCCGACTCCGACGCCCAGCGGCGGCGCGGCGGTGCGCTGCTGACACCTGATGGTCTGACGCACGTCCCGGCGCCCGTGGCCAACGGCAACGGCGCCCAGCGGCGGCGCACCGTCGACGCCTGATGGTCTGACGCACGTCCCGGCGCCCGCGTGCCGTGGCCGACGGCACGCGGCGGGACGGTGACCCACGCCGACGTCAGCTGCGACTCCGACTGCGGTGACGCAGCACGGAGACGTGACCTCTGGCCCGACGCCACGTCACGACATTATGACGCAGCACTGGTGTCGACGGCGACAGCCGGTGCCTCGCTGTCACGCGACAGGGACCGGAACAGGCGCACCCCTGACTGCCAGGCCGTGCTGCCGGCGACACCACACCGCCCTGCCCCGTCCTGCCGCGCCTGGCCGCGTGGTCACGCGCGCACGCGCGCGCGCGGACCGCACCACAGCGGTGGCAAAAGACTGGCTAGTCACATGGCCATTGACACCACCTTCTTCCGTCTTCACGAGCGTGTTGTCACCATTTCTAAGCAACGCTCCACGATGACTGTGATATGCATCCACCACCACCTGCCAGGCGCCATCGGTAGCCTGTTTATTTCTGTCCTTGTCGAGTGAATCTCCCAGTCGGGAGCCGACGATGGACTCTACAGCTGTTTGTGTGAGTGATCACCAACCGAGCGCATTTATTGACAATGACTGATGCGCGCGTCTGTCGGCCACAAAATGGATGCTAGACCGCGTTTTACGATCTGGGGTGATTGAATATACGGGCGAGAGCGCACCAAATAGATACTGGAGGATGTCTCGATATTAAGGCCGCACAAGACCTTCCTGAGGGCGTAGTTGCAAGCTGCTGAGCTGCGCTTCAGGGGCCGCAGGGCCGCAACCAACGGACGGAGTGCCAGAGCTGCGCCATTCGTCCAACGCAGACCACGGCGCCGGGATAACCTGACACCGGGCTAATATGAAGCCAGCGCAGAATGAACCGGTGTGCAATCCGAGACGCTGAGCCGGCCAGCCGCGCGCCCACGCATCCCAACGTCAGTCGGATCTGAGCCGGCCAGCCGCGCGCCGACGCCTCCCAACGGCAGTCGGGTCTGAGCCGGCCAGCAGCGCTCCTACGCATCCCAACGTCAGTCGAGTCTGAGCCACCCAGCCGCGCTCCCACACAGCCGGGCATCAGACGGGTCTGAGCCGGCCAGCCGCGCTTCTACGCATCCCAACGTCAGTCGGGCCTGAGCCGGCCATCCGCGCTCCCACACTGCCGGGCATCAGACGGATCTGAGCCGGCCAGCCGCGCTCCCACACGGCCGGGCATCAGACGGGTCTGAGCCGGCCCGCCGCGCTCCCACACTGCCGGGCATCAGTCGGGTCTGAGCCGGCCAGCCGCGCTCCCACACGGCCGGGCATCAGACGGGTCTGAGCCGGCCATCCGCGCTCCCACACTGCCGGGCATCAGACGGGTCTCAGCCGGCCAGCCGCGCTCCCACACTGCCGGGCATCAGACGGGTCTGAGCCGGCCAGCCGCGCTCCCACACGGCTGGGCATCAGTCGGGTCTGAGCCGGTCAGCCGCGCTCCCACACGGCCGGACATCAGACGGGTCTGAGACGGCCAGCCGCGCCCCCACACTGCCGGGCATCAGTATGGCCTGAGCCGCCGACGCCCGGGCACGCGGCTCCAACACTGAGCCACCGTTTTCTTGGAGAGGTGTACAGAGCCAACAGTGCCGACCACGGCACGCTGCAATAAGCGCTCCACAGGAGTCACAGGGCGTCACATCCGACAGCCAAACAGTCGCTGGTACAGCCTCATGGTCACCTCATACAGCCTCATCCACCTCATAGTCACATCATCGCCCCATACAGCCTCATCATCACCTCCCACAGCCCTGCCATCGCCCCATATAGCCTCATCATCACCTCATACAGCCTCATCACCACCTCATACAGGCCCACCATCACCTCATACAGCCTCATCACCACCTCATACAGACCCGCCATCACCTCAAACAGCCTCATCACCACCTCATACAGACCCGCCATCACCTCAAACAGCGTCATCATCACCTCATAGTCACAGCATCGCCCCATACAGCCTCACCATCACCTCATACAGCCTCGCCATCACCTCAGACAGTCGGTAGCCACACACAGCTTCATAGCTATCCTAGACTGTCTTGGTCACCGAGCATCAGCCGGGCCACAGAGCGTGGCCTCATACATGCAAATACAATGCGTCAATGGGTTCCGAATCGCATGTGGATTGAATGACATCAAGGAGGATACCATGTATGCTCGAAAGGATTTCCATTCGAAATGACTGTTTAGATGGCCAGAAAAGAGCAGCTTTAAGTTCCTTCAATAAAGTTAAAACTAAGTTGAAGGCTCTGATCCCGCTATCTAAGTGTTTCAAACTAAGTGTATGCTATGGATCGGGCGCCGAAGCATAGCTAGCTTTGGTGACTCAACTGGGTCGTCAATTCACGATCAAGCCTCTCGGAACGCCTCGCAGCGCCTCTGTGCCACCCAAATAGCGCTCCAACAGCGATGTCGCCCGGCGTCAGGCCGACCGTAGCAGGCCCGCACCAGGTACCAGTCGGGGCACCACCTACGCCGCGGAGGTGAACACGGAAGCTGTTCCCGCGCCGGCCCTCCCGCTGGCCCGCAGTACTCCCCGCACTACGCTGGTTTCCGCACCGGAACTCTCGCTGGCCCACAGTACTCCCCGCACTACGCTGGTTTCCGCACCGGCCCTCTCGCTGGCCCACAGTACCCACCGCACTACACTGGTTTCCGCACCGGAACTCTCGCTGGCCCACAGTACCCACCGCACTACATTGGTTGGGACTGGGTGCCGAGCGGCTGGGCTCCTCTAGTGAATCAGCGACAGCAGTGACAGAGAATGTGGCTGATGGAGCAATGTCCGTGTTGGATTCCGCGGTCGGTGCGGTCACCCTCGGGTGCCGGCCCGAGTCTCGAAGTGACGCAGAGAGGCGGGTGGGGGGGGGGGGGGGGATTGACGATCAGAGGGAGCCGAGCAGGCGGGCGGACGGGCGGGCGGGGGAGGGGGAGTGGGCGGCGGACATGCCGAGAGCAGGCCGGCCGCCAGCCAATCTACTACAGCGCCTGAAGCAGGGGAAACCCCTACCCAAACAAACTCAACAAGCCCGTCACCTTGATGTGTGCTACGCGATTTGTCCTGCCCGAGACCGCCATCATTCAGCCGGTGACGTTCCAAGCAGAAGACGCGGCTCGTCACCTTAAAATGGCGCGCAACGTGCGGAACGACGTCGAAGCGTCCCACGCAGCCACGCGCCATTATCTGCACCCGATGCAGCCAAGCCCCACATGCAAGCGGCGACGGCCTCATATCGCCACCGAGCCAACGGCCACAGACGTCGCGAAGGCAATCACGAAACTACCATCCGGAGAATTAAATACACCGCGATAGAGCCCGACCACGACCGGCCGGCATGAATATTGAAGGCCCGGCGGCTTTGGCGGCGGCTCAGTGATTCAGCTCGAGCCCTTTCCACGAATGTGCAGCCGGCGCAGGGCCTCCGGCCGGGCAGTCGAGCAGAGCGGCACGGGTCCCGCCAGGGTCCGGGCGTCGGCTGCGGGCAGATGTGGCGCGCGCGCCCCGTGGCCGCCAGCCACTCACAAACGGAACGTGACTATGCCGTACTACGTGCATGCCGCAACACTCTGAGTTCGCGCCAACAGCTCGCGACTGCACTGCATTCTGACAGACTAAACCTCAATCATCTACCAAACATACGCATTCGAGTTTTGCTGTTACAAGGCGGACTGTGCATACAGGTCCCGGCGCCGGCACGCCAGCAGGCGGCCGGTCCAGAAGACAGCCGACCGGCCGGTCACCTAAGCCGGCCCTTGTCTCGGCTCGGAAGTCGTCCAGCCGAGTTCCCGCCGGTCGGAACTGTCGCCGGCACGGGGCGGACGTGGCGCGAGTTGTGCTGAGCCTCCCCGTGACTGAGCGGCCGTTTTCGCGCCCTGATACTGGGCGCAGTGGCCGAAAGTGCCGGTGATGACGCCAGGCGCCGGCCCTGCCACGCGGGGTGCCGGCGGCGCCGATCTGGGGTATCCAGCTGACCGCCGAAGGCGCGCCGGAAGTGCGGCTGTCGGGATTTCCGTCCAGCAGAGCAGGAGCGGATCAATACAGAGCTGTTCAGATGCACTACGCGCTACAGCGCTACGTGTCGGCCATCATAATCTGTATAGCTTCAGACAGCAAAGCGGACGAAAGTCGAGCCAACGTCTGAACGAATCGATCCAGAAGTTGGCGGTTCAGTGTCGTGTATTCCGCCGATAACCAGGCGGTAACGCGTCTCGATTATATGGTTAATGCGCCTCGAATGACGTGAACGATCGAAGTAATTTAGAAGGGGATGTTCTTATTTCGAAAGTAATCAATCTTGAAAACACCAGGAGGTAATGACTGAGCGATGCTGGTTATAATAAGAAAACGTTTCGAATGTATGATCATGGTGTCCATAAGCACAGCCTCGAAACGTCGCGTTTTCTCAGCACAACCAGTGCTTTCTTGATAGTGTTTTTTTTTTATTAATATCTCCTGAATTTACTGAGAGCCAGTCGTGTTCAGTGAAAGAGATCCCACCTCAAAATGCCGAAAAGCAAGGAGGCCAACGTTTTTCTCGCGTATATCAGGGGGCGCAAAACAAACTGGTTACTTGTCCGTATCACTTCTGTAGATCTCCGGTACTGCATAACTACTCTGCGTTTTATTTCGTGTTACAACAATGAAATGACCCAGCTTGCAAAACTCAACCCCCCGGACAACAGACTTCAAGACGCCATAGTTCTCAACGAGTGCTGAAAAGATGGTCGCCGCAATTTGCAGCAGATGACTTGCTTTGTAAAACCCTTCCTTACGAAACAAGCGTGTCGTCAGATGATGTTCGTAGGAAGGACGATCCGTGGGTGCCACGGCACCACCCTCTTCCGGGAACGCTGAACAATAACCCTACGGCAGCACATGGAAACAATCGACTTCGAAACTGGTCCAGGCCTCCCACCTTTTGCTACCGCTCTTTACCCGAGGAGTTGATTGTTAACTCGAACTAAAATGATGTCTCGAAATGACTTCATACCATAGAGAGTATACATCATGGCTGATCATTTTTACCACCATTTCAAATTTTCCCTAGTTCATACCAAAAGCATCTCGGTTCATAAAACACCGCAAGCGCTATTCCGTAGCACATGAAGAGGCGAAAACTCGATCACATGGTGATTTAAATACAAATCAAATGACTGCGGACGGTGTAATATCGAAACCATGATACAGCATCACCTAAATTCGTATGAATGTCGTGAATGGTATGTCCGAATGACTTTGGGTTCGGTGCGCTTGCCAAGCAGCGTTTGTAGCACGCCACAGACCTGTTATCCCAGGTAGGCCGAACCGGGCATCGGATAGTTCGGAATCTGGCGTTTTTGCCGGCGAGGACCGCGGAGTTTTCCGTGTGGCGCCGTAATGCGACACGGCCGTACCAGGGCTCCGCGAGCTGACCTTCCCGCATCAGTCCGGTCGAGCTCGGGGCCCGCTCTGGGAGACGCGCCCCGAGACGCTGCGGCGCCACCACGTCCGTTCGACCGAGGCACATCAAACACGTGCACTCTTCACATGTGGACAGAAGCTAACGTTTCAGGAGATTCGTAAGAATACAATGGTTGTAAGCGTCATAACTCAGGATTTGAGTCAGCTGCACTTAACGAAATGAGCCACAAATGCACCTCGGGCATGACGTGTCGAATATGTCGCAGGTGCACTTCCGCTTGATTGGACACGCCGCATCGGTTTGCAATGTGTTCGGCGCAAACTGTCGTAATGAGCGTCAACACGTGCCAAGCTTCACACACCGGCCAATACGTTCGCAATGCTTTTCAACTCACAATGTTTCACAAACATTACAAATCAACGTCATGCCGCATCTCACAAGTCCACCACGTAGAAACGCGTGCGCACTGCTCACAGCGCGCGCTTACGTGTGGCGAGAAGGGCCATCGTTACACAACTGCACCACCGCAAACATTCCAGACGGGACGCTCACGCGTCCGTTGGGATAAGCGACATTCCAGACCGTAGCCACGTCCAGACCACAGAACGGCGGAGCAGAAGTATCCGGTCACCACACTGACAAGGTCTTCTCTTTGCTAATCTGCGAGCGTCGTAATCCGGTGTGCGATGTCGAGTACACGTATTTGTCAATCAGTAATCCGCAGCTGGGCGCTGGTGTTTTACCGGTGACAAACTGTCATAACCACGCGTATGCGGGTGATGCTGCCCCAAACGATACGCTTAAGACAGCTTAGGGAGCAATAATTTCAATAAGTAACACAGACACTTTACAAGAATAGCGACCGCGATTCTTTGTGATGGGTTAGAGTTGCTAGGCAGCGACAATCACTGCAGCACCCATCATCGCCCCGAAACACGATATCTGCCACACAAGTCGGCATCATTGAGCGCCTGGAGTCGCGTAAGCCTCTTACGCCGCTCACTGGCTGTCGCGAGCTTTGCGTCGGAGCTCCCTGCCGAGCGATAACGCTGATGAAGTGCAGCGCCCAGGATGGAGTACAGATCAGATGGACGGGAACGAGCCCCTCACCCGACGCATTGATGTCGGAAACTAACCACTCGCCGAGGACGGCACACAGATCAGATGGACGGGAACGAGCCCGTCACCCGACGCATTGATGTCGGAAACTAACCACTCGCCGAGGACGGCACACAGATCAGATGGACGGGAACGAGCCCCTCACCCGACGCATTGATGTTGGAAACTAACCACTCGCCGAGGACGGTACACAGATCAGATGAACGAGAACGAGCCCCTCACCCGACGCATTGATGTTGGAAACTAACCACTCGCCGAGGACGGCACACAGATCAGATGGACGGGAACGAGCCCGTCACCCGACGCATTGATGTTGGAAACTAACCACTCGCCGAGGACGGTACACAGATCAGATGAACGAGAAGGAGCCTTTCACCCGACGCATTGATGTTGGAAACTAACCACTCGCCGAGGACGGTACACAGATCAGATGAACGAGAACGAGCCCTTCACCCGACGCATTGATGTTGGAAACTAACCACTCGCCGAGGACGGTACACAGATCAGATGGACGAGAAGGAGCCTTTCACCTGACACACTGATGTCGGAAACTAACCACTCGCTGACGAACCGCAGTTCCGAAACGGCACGCAAAGCCCGAGGCACGCGTGTTTACAGCGGCCACCGCTTGGATAGCTGCCAGCAGAATCGCCATCTCCGCGGCCTGTCGGACACCGCGCTCACCCTTGCTGATAGTAAGGACGCACAGTCCCAAAGGAAAACCACAGGTGTGGTGCTTTCTCGAGAGAAGCATATAAATTCCAACGTATGCAGGTCAGGCGCGGCCCAGTCATGATGTTTTCCTGTGTACCTTAAACGCTCATTACGATAATTGAGTGCAGCGGAGTGATTTGGAGGAGTGCTGTCGTTTCACATGTTGCCCACATTGAACAACTAAACACCGATTTTTTAGGTGACTGGGTTTGAGCACCCAGCGCGGGTGCCCTTTCCTGGATTACGGGCATCTTCCCACCTATACATAAGAAGGAAGAAATAGCCTTATTCCTTTTACGTCGGACTTCTGCTATTCGTTTCGATAAAGGCATGTTGCCGTAATATCAACGCATCTATATCTCCATTCTCCTGGTTTCTCCACGAGGAACAAGGCTATCACTAATGTTTTATTTATACGCATAATGTTCCTCGCAAATACACTCAACAACCTATGCCATCTTCCGGCTTATGTTGAAACATTTGTCAAGGGGCGATTAACTGAGTCCTAAATGTCATTCTTATGTGACGTGAGTTATTCCCATGCTCCATGCAACGTGTTCCATCAGGGGCTTGGCTCACACTGTTACCAGGTTCCACAATTCAACATGGATTCGTTACTCGACTGTCAATATCTGAAATCGTTTCATTCCACGTTCTCGCTCAACTAACTTTTTTCTGCTCAATAAAATCCTTCCGGTCTGCATTTATTACGGTTCAGATTTGCTCGCTAGCCTTTGTATGCATACTCTACTCACCGTGTTGAGAACTGAACTGCTTCCGTCATTTTGTTTTCAATTGTAGAATTCTAACGCTTCATATCAATAAATAAATATAAACTCATACCTGTGCACTTGAGCGACGAGTAAAGTGTCGTGTTCTGACTCGAGGGCGATCAGTGCCGTCACTGCCACCTTCTGAGCATCTTCTAAACTATCGTTTCCATCGGCGGCTACGGGAGCGTGGGCCAGCTGGCGACCGGTCGCTGGATCCCATAGCCGCAACATCATGTCCTGAGAAACAGCCGCCAACAGAGTTTCAGTCATACCAAAAGTTCATGGAAAACACGGCCACCGGTCTGCACGCATTGCTTGCATGGCGACTGTGACAACACGGAGAACTTCACAAGATTGCGGGTTTATGTCGCAATCACTTGCATAAAGCAAGCAAATGTAATTCAGTTCAGTGGACAAACAATACAAGCTGAATGAAACTTCACTTGGATCGCTATATGCGGGCAGCCCCCACCAGTGGGAACGCCCAGAGAAGTCGGTGTTTTAGCTGCCATACGATGACTAGGCCCTATCAGAAAATCGTAACAGAATGAGAAGGAGGGAAGGGGGCCAGAATCTCGCGTAGTGCATCTCGAAGCAAAAGCGATCCTATCGTTTCAACGGTTGGACAGACAGCTAGTTTGCTTCTCAGAGCGTTAGTTTCGACTTCCTGGTTGTCGCTGGGCTGCGCCCATGGGCGTTAAACCCCGGTCACGCCCCTGGTGGGATAACTCAGCGACAACAGACGACCTGAGACAGTGGTACGGCTACACCGGCTTGCTCAACAGCCAACCAGAGCCGGCGGTACGGCTGCACCGGCCCCGCCAGCTCCCAGCGGCCTGCTCGACAGCCAACCAGAGCCGGCGGTACGGCTGCACCGGCCCCGCTAGCTCCGAGCGGCCTGCTCAACAGCCAACCAGAGCCGGTGGTACGGCCACACCGGCCCCGCCAGCTCCCAGCGGCCTGCTCAACAGCAAACCAGAGCCGGTAGTATAGCTACACCGGCCATGCCAGGTCCGGTCGGCCTGCTCAACAGCCAACCAGAGCCGGTGGTATAGCTACACACGGCCCCGCCAGGTCCGGCCGGCCCGCTCACCCCTCCGCCGGAGACGAGAAGACCGGAGGAGGTCAGGCAGAGCGCCGCCACGAACTCGCTGTGGCCCAGGCAGTAGGCGTCGATGGTCCACGTGTTGGGGTAGCAGGTGAGGCGGATCTTCTCGTCCCGGTCACAGGTCACCAGGTGGCGGCCGTCGGCCGTCACACACTGCGGTCAAACAGAGATGTCGAGTCACACAGGCTAGGTCACAGGTCACTAGTCATCATATATTCTACTGCCAGACAGAGATTCTGGTCACAAAGACCAGCTCACAGGTCACCAGCCGTCACATACTACTGCCCGACAGAGATGTCGGGTCACAGAGGTCAGGTCACAGGTCACAAGCCGTCACACATTGTACTAAATAGAGATGTCGGGTCACAGAGCTCAGGTCACAGGTCACAAGCCGCCATGCACACTACCACGAGAGCACCGCGTTACAGGTCAAGTCGCAACTCACCCGATAGAAACGGCACGACTCGAGACCAATTATCACCGATCGCGGACTATACATTAATTACGGAAAAGAACCTCAAAAATTTGTTAGCCGATCAATGGCTTGCGTAATTAGCGAGTCAAATTGCATAGCACTTTGAAAACATATGCAGCTCACAAATCCCACTGATCCACACTATCTTTGGACACTGACATCGGACGACGTACCATATCCAGGACCATCGAGATGTGGCCTAGGATCAGCTGAGGCTTCGTACTGGCAGAACTCAGCTGGCACTTGTAGACGTCCCCGGACTTATCTGTAATGCAGGCCACTGACTGAGGCTTCACTAAGATATGGTTCAAACCGTCACGTCTGAAGGTAAGCTTGAATGGGCCCAATAAACCATTATTATTATTCATACGACAGGTGCGTGACGAAGAGAAACGGTATGGCATCATTTGATTATTTCATTGAAACGATTTGATTTGCGTGTATTGCACTGCTTTGCTCGTGTAACTGTTCTTGCTTGTGCTTGTACTTGCTCGTGATGCCAACGCGACAAATAATGATTTAGATCAAAATAGCGCCAGAACAAGTTTCTTCACTCCACAGGCAGGATCAGAAAACGCAATAGTCAGATGCAGCAAATCCTGCGATAAAGCATTTTTGCAGGATTCTCTGGCATTTGAATACCTGCAGGACCCGATGTGCCTAAACCGCCATGTCGATACATCACCGGCTTACCGGGTTCGCCAAGAACTCTGTTAAATACACCCGATCCGACATACTTTGCCATCAGAGACGGCGGTGACAGCAGCCCTAGATGCCATGCGCGCCGGTAAATTACCCAAAAGTAATGTCACACACGCCAATGACAGTGCGTCTGAATTTGTCGTTGCCAGAAATCAGTCCCGACTGAACAAAATTTTGTGTCAGAATGAAAAAATTAAACATGGTATTCGAATACAGGAGCCAAATTAACTGCTTAAGTCTGCACAAGACCCCGTGAATCAACATCACACATTTGTTAATTACACCATTATATAAAAAGCATCGCTCGAGGACCAGGGCATACACATGAAAAACTACTCTGGGTCCCAGAAAACTCAGGCTCTTGAGTCTAAAGCTTCCAGCCCTAAGCAGACGTCATCCAACAGCCGTTCAGCTGTACATACTCACCACACCAGCGCCGCCGTTTCCATCATTTGGTTATAAACCGACGCAATTAAGGCGGTCTCAGGGAGGAGGCCCTCCAGATGTCATCCAAACGCAGACGCCAGCAGCTGAGCGCACGGTTCTGCTGTGGTTCGTCGCGCCACTCTGCCCCGCACCGCAGCACCGTCGGCGCACCCACCTGCCACGAGCAGAGCCTCCTCGTCCGGCGCGAACGTCAAACAGCTGGCCTTGCGCGCCGTCCGCCAGCAGCCGACTGTGGCGCCATCTGCGGCGCGCCATACGCACGCCGCCTTGCGGTCGTTCAGTGCTGCCACCAGCCGGCCGGACGTCGAGACGCAGAGTCCGAGCGTGCGGCCGGACGCCTGCTCCTCCCTGCGGCAGTGACAGTGACTCGTGACAGACCACGGGAGGTGTGTTTGGCGGCAGACTGGATGTCTCTTAGAAGTTTAAATCAGCTACACAGAAGATGTCTGCATCTATATAACAAACAATACAGAACTGGATTTGGTGACAATGAAGACACAAGTATCAACAGATTGTGTTAGCATGGAATGAGTCTGGTAGCTGCTTCTAAATGGTCATGCACGCCACGCACCATTTTACGTTAGCAAGGAATGAGGCTAATAGCATATTAGAGATCATTTCAATCTGAGTTACACACCTGAGGGCACAAACTCCAGCAAAGCATGGCAATCTCAAATACCACTCTAATCTGTCTATTGCAGTCCCATAATGTCACACATGATGGCTTCTCAGAAAACCCAGAGAGATCCACAGTCCTCTTGCCACACTCAAATCACAAAAGCCAAACCCATCTTTTGTAACCTCACTAGCTGCAGATATTGACATCCCTGGATGGCTCGGCGATGTCGATGCCACCCTCAGCCACTATGACTAGGAGGTGCTTTAGGCAGACAGTGGTTGTTTTCCCAGCAAATAATCTGTCCTTGAACCAAAACAAGATAAAAATATATTCAGATCACATTTTCAGAACTTATGATATGTCTATGAAGATGCAATAGTAAGATGCTAATGTCCATCTGCTGTCCTGTGCTCATCCTCATGAGAAGAGGTCTTGAAAATGAGCTAAGCTCAAAATTTTGTGTCCCATCAATATAAGCAATGTGAAGCACTAAGATGTTTAACTGCATCTACTGGTATGTTGAAGACTAAGAACTCAACATAGGAACTTTGAACACATAATACCAAAAAACTAGCAGCTGAAAACTTTTTTTCTTATATCAACTCCAAACTATGACCACAGAATGAAGTGGCTTAGAGTGAAAAGGTCTGTAAAAAGGGATGAACATGGTTTATGGGTTTGATAACCCCTCCCTCCCCAAGAAAGACACAAAGCTTCACCCATGGTATGGCCAATGCCAAAATGCACCATGAGAAGGTTCCAAGTTTTCCCACAATGAATTATCTTTTGTTGAGTACCTGATGCACCACCATTAGAGTCCTGTGCACAGCAGAAAACATGGACCTAGGAACTAGGGGGGGGGGGGGGGCAAGTGGAGCTGAGTCCCCACAAATTTGGGAAACTTTTATATGGGCCAATGGGTATAATGAAAGCTGTACTGGGACTGAGAAAGCAAGTTCCAGCATTAAACAACACATTTTTGCATCTTTTCAGATATTTACATAGCTTTGTATTACAAACTGTGTTTCAAAACCACATCATACCACAACAAACATGATTACTACTGGGGATATAAATTCAAACAAGGTGGAGCAGCTGTTCTATGTCTCACCTCCAAAAGATTAACTATGGCTACAATTTTCAGAACTTGGATGGTGTTGTCACATGCTTCTGTATCATAGTCATCTACCTTTATTTCAATCACAGCTAAAACACTGTTTTGTGTGGTTCAGGATCACCATTAACTAGCCATGTCAGTTTGCTTGAGTCAATAGTTGAATCAAATTGCTGATTGGAAAGTATATTTGATTCAAATTGTAGCTTTGTTTCTATGAAACATATACTTTTGTTGGATATGACAGTGTATAAAATAGCATGCTCTTTCATACCAAGCATTAATAGCATTAATATAAGGCACCAGGCTAATTAACCTCTAGCCACTCTAGATAATACATTGTTTAGCCTACTTACACATCAGGCTGGCCTTCACCATGCTCCTCTGAACAATCCTTGGTAGCATCATCTTCAGGAAATTTAAAGGTCTTCACATCTGTGCTGGAGCAGACAGGGACAGATTTATTTTCACCAACATGTTAGCTGGAACTTACATCTTTTGATAATGCACAAAATTGAATCATTTTTACACCTGTGCTAGAACAGAGGATGTTTTCCAGAAATAAAGAGGCCACAAAACATAAAGTTTGAAGTGGATTATCATAGGCTGATGATCATATGATCTTAACATAATAAATAATAATGTAACAAAATTATGTGCTCAGCATCCATAGCTATTCATAACACAAAATACTGTTAAGAGGTAGCTGTGGAACAAAATACTTACAGTAAACAGAGAGCTCACATGTCAACATGGCAAGTCTCTTAAGCTTCCTTGAATTGATCATCACTCCAACATCTCTTACCCTAACAATCACATTTCCTGGTGAAAACAAGTGCTGGAACACAACTGAGCCCATAACAAAGAAAAAAAGTGAAGGTGGCTCACACCATTCGTTTTAGAAACTTACGTGGAGGACAGACATTTGATCGCATCGCCGCAAACAACATAAATGTTTTCGCTGTCAGCACTGCTAACGATCGCCATGTAACCCATGATTCAGCTGATAGCACGTCAAAACAATATCCAAACAACACACCGTGCAAGCTTAAATTGTACAACGTTATGACGTATACCACGCCTTGCACAACCACTGGCGCACCACTGACGAGCCGCGATATTCCCCACTTGTCCTATATTCCACCCAACTACAGCACCGTCCACGCTCCCTAAACTGCAGCGTATGCTGCGTGTTGTTTTGTATCAATGCGCCAGTTTGAGGGCTTTGTTTCATGGTTGTCTAAACTACTGTTATGCCCCAAGTTTACACGAATGCAAAATGTCCTTTTGTGCACAATGCTTATGGACATTTGGCATAGTTCAAGCGGGGACGGTACAGCGAGGGGGGCAGAGGGTGCATCTGCTCCTCCTGCCGGCAGGCTGTGGCAAAATTGTGCTTTTGTCCCTTCCAAATTTTGGGAGGTGACCTTTTCCCAAGCAAAGGTGTTAGGCGGGGGCGTTGCGGAGATGGGGAGGGACCGGGGATTACATGCCCCTCTTCCTTTGGATAGAAGGAGGCAGCTCCCCTATCCCAGCAACGACAGATTTATTCAGTAGCATGAAATTCCATTGTATGTGCAAGCAACGAATTGTTGAAAATACGACGCTGCTGAGAGTCTGAAACCCCGTGATGCAGGCAGGGTGGGGGAGGCACAGGGGCTAGTGGCACCCTCCCTCCCCCTTAGGTACCGAGAGTCCCACACGGCCCCTCAACCCCGGGATCCCGAACGTTATCGTATGAAGAGACCCTGACCCGCAGGGTCGGGTCCTCAAATGCCAGTCAGAAGACCTTTTGCGCCGACTGGAGGCTCCCGAAGTCGATGACGGACTTAATGTCGGTCGGACACCATCAAAACCAAACAGTCGGCTGCGTGTCAGTCTGACCTGAGGGTCCATTTCCCAAACGAAGAGAAGGCTGGAACCGGGATTTTCATTGGTCGGGGTCCCACAAACGGTGAGGGGCCCTCGTGTCGATGAGGGACCACAGTGCCTAACGGGTGGTCCTGTGTTGGCAAGTGGCCCGGTTGGCCAGGGATCGTGTCTGAGGGAGCCCGAAGGGGTCCGAAGAGGGACACGAGGGGCTTTCGGGCCCAAAGATGAAAGGCCGAATGGAAGGTTTAAGGACTGGCTGTAGATCACATCAAGAATCCCGCCAGTAGGGCCGTAGCCTCCAATTTTAGTCCAACGGCCTCTTACGCTGATGACTTTACACTTACACTAATTACACTCACCCTTGGGGCAATGTGGGACTCTATTTCGGCCACGGACAATCAACGCCGTACAGTCGGCTCCGTGTGGGTCTCAGCCCTTGGTCCATTTTCCTGGAAGGGACAAAGCCTGGGCTCACAATATTTTTTGGTCGGGGCTCCTGTGTCTATCAGGGGTTCACGACGCCTAACAGGGGGTCCTATGTCGGCAAGGGGCCCCGAGCCGGCTGGAGAAACATTTGCTAAACAGAGAGAGGGACGGAATCCCAATGTTAGAGAGACCCATACGTTGGTCGGAGCCCTCTAGCAATGAAAGGAGATATGAAAACTTATGATGAGAGGCCACAGTGAGTCAATGGAAGGATCCTGTGTGAGTTAGGGTCTCCAGTAACGAACGAGGGGCCTTCCATCCCATTTTAGTCAAGGGCCCGTTAAGCCGAATTGGAGTATCTGTGGTAATTAGTGGACCGCTTATGGGGAGTAATTATGAAAAAAATTGTTTTATCAATAACGCCTCCCGCTTCGATTCGGGGCCAACTGCCCCGGTCAGAGGGCCGCCCGCGTCAGGGAGAAAAGTAATGCATTATGTTTCCCTTTAAGGGCCTCCGAGTTGGCCAAGGGACCTCACCATCGTGTCACCAGAATGACAGCTGGTAGGCGCGCCGCGCTGGGATGGAATGACCCTTCAGTCCTTGACCGGGAACGATAATGTCCCCCTAATATTCTACCAGCGAGGTCCCTTTCACGAATGAAGGTGGTGGTCTTATAGGTGTCCAATAGAGTGGATCGAAATAAGGTCAAAAATTAAAAAGCCTTTCCCGTCTTTAACTGAGAACATCTATTATTTAAGCGCATCGATAAGTGAGAAAAATTTTATCGCACAATTTTGAGCCTGCGTGCTCGCAATTACGGCTGTCACTTTGCATTCTTTTGTGAGGTTCCTGCCCCCCCCCCCCTCGCCTGATACTGTCTTGGGCCACCCCAATATTTTAGGCCGGGCTATTACAAAAGCGCGAGAAAAAATGACCATCACACAAAGACTACAAAAGCGCGATAAAAATGACCATCACACAAAGACTACAAAAGCGCGAGAAAAAATAACCACCACGCAGACCATTTTTGGGGCCATTGTATGCTGGCCGTTACTACGGTGATGAATCCGGGATTTTCGATCCGAGGGACCCCTCCAGAAGCGGAGTGAATCTCAAACACGCGGCTATCAGCCTAACACAAAGATGTGGTTTTTCTCAGATTTTGGTAGCCCCAATTTATGAAATCTCTGAAAACACAAGCTATACACCGCTGCCGAATCGGCACATACGCCATAGCGATAGTCATATCGCATAACGCAAACTCTGCCTCACGTGAGCGGCGTGTAGTGTGGGCTCCCATGATCAGTCCTGCAAGACAGATGTCATCGGAACACCCAGTACCCTTATCGGTTTTACTTTGGTGCCCATGGTCGACATTTAGATCGCAAGTACAGTATAGAAAATAGTAATTCATGATGAATAGCTTACAAAATATTTAAGGTTTTGGTTTGTTGCTTTCAATCAGTTGCGTGTACTAACTTCAAGAAATGCACACTGGGCTGGGGCATAGAAACGAAGCTGGCTACAGCTTCGATTTCGGTTTCGTGAAGCCGCACGTTTTCTTTAATGCCTTTGGGTACGACTTCGGCTTGGAACCATTATTTCACGACTGGCTCGGTTTCTACTTTGACTTCGTGGCATTTGGAATGGCTAGCTTCGGCTTCGGCTTCATGTTATTTTAAAGAGCTGACTTCGGCTTCTTCTTGGATTTCGACATCGCACACGACTTCTGAATGATGACTGCAGTGGTGGCCTCGTGTCATCATGAAACGCTGGCTTCGGCCCTTTTGTAGCGGGTTTGCACAGTTGTCTGTGTGCAGCTGTCTGTGTTGATGGTGCGCTCCCTTGTTGGATGCTGGGCCGGCCGGCCTGGCCGGTCCATGCCGTCGATTCGGGTCGCTTTGGCCGGCGCGTCGCGCCGGGTCGCAGCCCAGCGTAGCGCGCGGCGATTGGTCCGTGACCGCGTGACGCGTGTCGGGGTTGGGTCACCGGGCAGGGGGGTCGGGACTGTTGGAGTGGAGCCGGGAGAGTGCAGGCATTCCTGGGATGTCGGCGTCCAGCGGAGTGGAAGCTTCAAGTTGAAAGCATGGCGAACCATGCTTTTTAGCCGATCTCGGCAAGGCTTGCACTTTCATGGTGATTTCCCAGCGTAGTTGTAACTTTACTTCACAAAAGTATTCTCGTATGCATGGCCTAAAGCAAAAACCAGCGATTCATTCTCAGGACCATTAACACCTAACGAGGGTCGGAAACTTAGCTGTTCGAAAAGTTGCGTGCCTACATATGAACTCACAAGACGAGAACCGCCGTCTAAAAATATTCGATCCGTAATCCTTGCACTAGTTCTCGATCGCACTGCATAATCCTGTTGTCGTTGTGTGATTCCATGTGGGTTCTACAGATGGCAAAAGTTGTTCTGGATTCACAAAACAATGTTGTACACTATATTCGGCCATGGCTTTGAGCTCAAGATTACACATAGATGCCTCAGCATTGGCTTTGCGTTTACAAATTCAAAACCTCTTATGTCCGTTTCGGCTCCGCAGGTGAAAGAAAAAACTACAACGCCAATGGTTCCAAATGCAGCTTCTTCTTTTCTAAATGGATGAGTCAGCTAGCACCACCCTTTTAATCTATCTAAACGATAAATGTCGGAATGTCAGCCAAACCTGTTGCGCAATTCGATGCAGTTTCAGCACAGCGACAAAGGCGTCCGCTGGTCTCCCCGTGGGCGCTCCGCGCGCCCAACCCACGTGCATCCTGAAACCCGGAAGATAGTCCCCCTCCACGGCCTTCCAAAGACACGCGCGCAGGGCGTACGCATCAGTGATGCGAGAGTGGGTACGTGTGGACCAGTATATATTGGGAGCCTGTCCGATGCAATACAGCCAGTGCCTTCTCACCAGCCTTTGGCGCAAGATGTTCAACATCCCCGACCACATAAGGCAAAATAACGTTGTTTTTTAAAGTGGGGACAGGCTCAGGGTACACTTAATTTTACTGGGAGGCAAGCAAGGCGACCAGGGCACGACAGGGGTGGGGTGGGAGTGGGGGTAAAGATGGAGGACTTTATCCGCTCTTAATATGCATCACACATTTTGGAAATAGATTTGATGCTATGGTTGCTATGCTAGATATGAACTTTCAGCTGTTTGCCACTGGCGCACAATCTTACCTATTCGACTCATAAGACTACCCAGCTTTCTGGAATTAGTTTTCATCATTTGGTTTGTATTGAATTTAAATAACAAAATTAGAATGAAATTGGTCATTTTTAATGCCTTTAACGACAAGAAACAAAAGATTGCTGAATTTTTCTGCAAGAGGTTGGTGTACTTTTATGGCAAAGTGAAGCACAAACACCTCATTTCAGCTTGATGTGAATCTAAGGGCGCTGTCGACTATGTGATGTTTGTTATAGCTCCCATGCGGCCTCGCATGCAGCACCGGCCACGTGTTGCCTCCGGCTGCGTAGGCCACTTGCCAGGGCTTTAAATGCCGCACGTGGCAAGCACCAAAAAATACTCGATAGTTTTTGCGACGCACGGCTGGCAAGTAAAATGTTGATGTTCTTAATCGCATACAGAATCCCACGAATTGTGAAGCAATGTTTGATCACCTTTGACAATGTACGCATTATACGACTGGACCTGCCAGCCTGGGCCCTCGACCTTGGCCTCTGACATTACCACATGACCCACCTGAATCCAGTTAAAGCCAAGCCATTTCATTGTGGCAAAATTTATAGAACTGGCGCCATTTGAAGTCTTTTAACAATGACGCGGTGGCATGATAATGGCGTTATGATGACAGTGTAGAGCGCCATACGATATTTCGGAACCGTTTGAATGCTCTTTCCTACTTACGGTCTATCATGGCTGGACACTGGTAGATGAGGCGGCACCATTCTATTCAGGCATATTTTGGGAAAAGGTTTAGCCATTTTCACTGTCCAATATCATACTGTTTTACGCCATGTAAGAAATGTCACGTGGCGGCTGAGCAGCAAGCCGAGTTTTCAGCGTTGTGTTATAGTGCTGCCCACGTATTGTGAAATCTTGCATGTGCTCCTCATGGCTGTCGTGGCAGTGTTTGCGACGTCCCGCAGATGGCATGGCCAGTGTTGTAACTTAGTTTGTCTTACGTGAGATGACGCCGCCGCGGTGTGACGTCGACTTCAGCGTGGCGGACGAGGATGACGAGGGCAGCCGCGTCATCCACGGCACCGACAACGGCTTGCAGGAGCTCAGACCCCCGTCGCTCAGGGCCTGACACGCCCTCTCTCACCCACCCTTCCTCATCGCCCGTACAGATGCTCGCCATCTCACGCCCCCCCCCCTCGGCCCCTTTGTAGGCGCACGTCGCGGGCCCCCTTACAGGCGTTCTCCGTCGGCCCGCTTACAGACGCCCTCCGTCGGTCCCTTTACAGACGCCCTCCCTGGGCCCCCTTACGGGCGCCCTCCCTCGGCCCCCTTACAGGCGCCCTCAGTCGGCCCGCTTACAGGCGCACTCCCACAGGTTCCATACAGACACCCTCCCTCTGTCCCTTAGAAGATGCAGAGAAATTCAGTTCGTGCTTCTCACTCGTGAGGCGTTTATTCTCACCGGTGTCATGTTCATTTATTCTCTGTCACGCAGTAATACACTAATAGCAATACATCTGGCGGTGGATGTATATGATGAATGTTGGCTTGGAGGCAACGGGGCCGACCGCGGAACCTGAGGCGGACGCCTGTTCTGCAGCGCTGCGGCGCTCTGTCAGGTCCGCTCAACAGCGCTGCGGCGCTCTGTCAGGTCCGCTCAACAGCGCTGCGGCGCTCTGTCAGGTCCGCTCAACAGCGCTGCGGCGCTCTGTCAGGTCCGCTCAACAGCGCTGCGGCGCTCTGTCAGGCCCGCTCAACAGCGCTGCGGCGCCCTGTCAGGTCCGCTCAACAGCGCTGCGGCGCTCTGTCAGGTCCGCTCAACAGCGCTCCGGCAGGCTCTGTCGGGTCCGCTCAACAGCGCTGCGGCGCTCTGTCAGGTCCGCTCAACAGCGCTGCGGCGCCCTGTCAGGTCCGCTCAACAGCGCTGCGGCGCTCTGTCAGGTCCGCTCAACAGCGCTCCGGCAGGCTCTGTCGGGTCCGCTCAACAGCGCTGCGGCGCTCTGTCAGGTCCGCTCAACAGCGCTGCGGCGCTCTGTCAGGTCCGCTCAACAGCGCTGCGGCGCTCTGTCAGGTCCGCTCAACAGCGCTGCGGCAGGCTCTGTCAGGTCCGCTCAACAGCGCTGCGGCAGGCTCTGTCAGGTCCGCTCAACAGCGCTGCGGCGCTCTGTCAGGTCCGCTCAACAGCGCTGCGGCGCTCTGTCAGGTCCGCTCAACAGCGCTGCGGCGCTCTGTCAGGTCCGCTCAACAGCGCTGCGGCAGGCTCTGTCAGGTCCGCTCAACAGCGCTGCGGCAGGCTCTGTCAGGTCCGCTCAACAGCGCTGCGGCGCTCTGTCAGGTCCGCTCAACAGCGCTGCGGCGCTCTGTCAGGTCCGCTCAACAGCGCTGCGGCGCTCTGTCAGGTCCGCTCAACAGCGCTGCGGCAGGCTCTGTCAGGTCCGCTCAACAGCGCTGCGGCGCTCTGTCAGGTCCGCTCAACAGCGCTCCGGCAGGCTCTGTCGGGTCCGCTCAACAGCGCTGCGGCGCCCTGTCGGGTCCGCTCAACAGCGCTCCGGCAGGCTCTGTCAGGTCCGCTCAACAGCGCTGCGGCAGGCTCTGTCGGGTCCGCTCAACAGCGCTGCGGCGCTCTGTCAGGTCCGCTCAACAGCGCTGCGGCGCTCTGTCAGGTCCGCTCAACAGCGCTGCGGCGCTCTGTCAGGTCCGCTCAACAGCGCTGCGGCAGGCTCTGTCAGGTCCGCTCAACAGCGCTGCGGCAGGCTCTGTCAGGTCCGCTCAACAGCGCTGCGGCGCTCTGTCAGGTCCGCTCAACAGCGCTCCGGCAGGCTCTGTCGGGTCCGCTCAACAGCGCTGCGGCGCCCTGTCGGGTCCGCTCAACAGCGCTCCGGCAGGCTCTGTCAGGTCCGCTCAACAGCGCTGCGGCAGGCTCTGTCGGGTCCGCTCAACAGCGCTGCGGCGCTCTGTCAGGTCCGCTCAACAGCGCTGCGGCGCTCTGTCAGGTCCGCTCAACAGCGCTGCGGCGCTCTGTCAGGTCCGCTCAACAGCGCTGCGGCGCTCTGTCAGGTCCGCTCAACAGCGCTCCGGCAGGCTCTGTCGGGTCCGCTCAACAGCGCTCCGGCAGGCTCTGTCGGGTCCGCTCAACAGCGCTCCGGCAGGCTCTGTCGGGTCCGCTCAACAGCGCTGCGGCGCTCTGTCAGGTCCGCTCAACAGCGCTCCGGCGCTCTGTCAGGTCCGCTCAACAGCGCCTCGGCAGAGCTCTGTCAGGTCTGCTCGACAGCACTTCAGCGCTCTGTCAGGTCCGCTCAACAGTGCTCCGGCAGGCTCTGTCAGGTCCGCTCAACAGCGCCTCGGCAGAGCTCTGTCAGGTCTGCTCGACAGCACTTCAGCGTTCTGTCAGGTCCGCTCAACAGCGCTTCGGCGCTCTGTCGGGTCCACTCGACAGCGCTCCGGCAGAGCTCTATCAGGTCCGCTCAACAGCGCTTCGGCGCTCTGTCGGGTCCGCTCGACAGCGCTCCGGCAGGGCTCTATCAGGTCCGCTCAACAGTGCTTCGGCGCTCTGTCGGGTCCACTCGACAGCGCTCCGGCAGGGCTCTATCAGGTCCGCTCAACAGTGCTGCCTCTTGTCAGCATTTCGCAGCTGGTGGACAATGGAACATCCGCAGAAAGATGGTGAAATATGACACTTAATTTCACTACTGTATGTCGCTAGGCACAAGGCCGGCCTGCGCGCAGTGTCGCATTCACTGCCGCAAGATCTGGTTTTAAGCGCTTTGCGACAACGCTGCCAGGTGATAACCTCCTTCTCGACTTGTCGTCACGTGACTTCGTTCTCACGATTAAGGACATGGCAAAGGCGAGCCAAAGATCGACTACTCGCGGCGCCATGCGCCAACTAAAGCTTAGCTCATCCCCGTTAGAGGTCCGGCTGCAGACGGCACGGGCGGCGAAACTCGTTGTCATGCTCATGGAACCACTTGTTTGCCACTGAAAACAGTACATAGGCGTGGCATCAGTCAACCGGCACAAGGATTTGTGTCTCTGCACACGGTCCGAGGGGCAGTCAGCTGCTAAAACGTGGGCCTTACACCCACCGCAAGCTTTGTTAGGCTCGAAGCCGAGATTATAGTTAAAAATGAAACAGAGTTTGTTTGTTGAACAACATTTTTCCTTTTTAGGATTAAGTCTGAGTCGAGCACAGTTTATTGTTCAGACAGTTACAACGTCTTCGACCCAAAGCATCTTTGATTGCGGCGCGGGTTTTTACCTACTGGACTAAACCTGCCGAATGGCCTTATCCTTATCGAACATTATTATGTACTTATGATATTTACTAAACGTACTATTACGATACATGCTAAACAAAACGATGACTAAATGGTGATCTTTCACGACACCTGTCCTGAAAAGTCCATTGTCAGCGGTGCATCAAAGCTGTAAGTTCAGCTGAACAAACAGAGTATCTATCGTCAGGAGAAGCTATCATCTGGGTTTAGCTAGAAGATGGCGTATGACGTAATTGTGCCTGTTGTCTGCGACCAGTAGAGCAGGTCAGATTGGTAACCCCCCCCCCCCCCTCCCCTCCCCTCCCCTCCCCTCCCCTCCCTCCCTCCCTCTTCGATCGGCAATTTGAATATCCGCCAACATCATCCGTACACCTTGGCCCACCACCAGTCCTACAGCCTTATACTACCCATGCGGATCAAACACCGCTCCTGCTGCTGCCTCTCCGCCACTCCCTGACAACGCGGCCGCCCGTGCCCGTCACCAAGAGCGCCGGCCGGCACGTACCCCACTTGGACCCGACGAGCACGGGGCAGGCGGCGTGCCGGGTGCGCCAGTCGCCGCTGCCGTCCGCATGCAGATTGTACCAGAAGGCGGCTGAACCACGCCGAGGCTTCACCACCGCGCCCAGCTGCGTGAACACGGTGGCACCGCCGGCCGCCACGTCCGACATCTGGCGACCGCCGCGAAAAACAGAGGTTTTAGGGGCCGACAGCAGGTGTGATGCCGCTGACTGCGGATTTATGTGGGTTGATGTTTAATGGTAAAGGTTTCAATGATAATGTTTAATAATATATAAAAATATATGTAATGGTTGTGTTTAATGGCAAAGTTTCAATGAAGCATGCTATAACGTCGGTAGGGAATGCTTCATCTCTGCTGATGTCACTTCACACAGTATTATGTTCACAATGGTGCGTAATTCGAACCGCGGCCCATTTTATGCGTTCCAATTGTCCTCGCTTGTATCTCTATCAAAGGCAGTTGTTTTCAACGTTTGATGCGTTTTTTTCTGTGGTGACCAATGTATGCCAGAATTTCTGTACTTGTGAGAAGTTGATGCTCTTCCTGTTCGACATGATGCCAAAAAGAGAACAAAAGGTAAAAAAAAAAACATCGCAACGAACGCTACGACATCATTTCCACACTACTGAATACTTACGTAGAAAATAAATGTTGCAATGCGATTTCCATCCTCGAGCTCTGCTGCAATCGCCTTATTCTGCCAAACAGATAAATATAGAATATAAATATAAACCACGCTTACATACCGGGAACAATAAAGCAGCCCAGCCTCACATGGGCCTGCGTTCCTCCAAACAATAATTCGCCGGTCCAAAGAGGGCCAGCGTACACCAGACCGGCCACGTATCACGATCTACGCTGCCCCAGCCACGCGATACCAACCCAACACGGTCAACGGCCATGACGAGTCGCGTGGGGGCCCAGAGCATTGTCCTCATCGGCTATCACAGATGGCTGACACCAGAGCCGGGGGGCGGGCAGCGGGCCCCGCGCTGGCGGCCCTGGCGAGGCCTACAGTGCGGTTCGCCGAGGGCCCACGCAGACCCGGTGACGCGTCGTGTGCCGAGGTGAGACCCACTAAGAACAGCCGGCTGCTGCTCGACACGCGGCAGACGGGGGGAGGGGGAGGGGGCATGTTGAACCACCACTGCAGCCTTAAAGCACACCCCACGTACCCTGACAGACAGTCCTTAAGTGTTCCGCAGTGTCCTTGAGCACGGCAGTTAGTTGGCACATTCTGATGTAGGTGCAGTGCAGTACGGTTTGCAGTGCCTGCCAATGCAGTAGTGCAGTGCACGTGCATCTGTGTAGTCGTGCGGTTCGTGGTGTTTTCCCATGTAGGAGATTAGTATGTATACTGGCATGGTAAAAGCGCCCCCCCCCCCCCCCCGATTTCATTTCGTAGTGTATATGCTTTGACATTTTCATGGTACAAAACGAAACGTTTCTCCGCTGCCGTAGTGTAATGCGCAAAATACTCTGGTATACCCGAAGTGTGGCCCATGCCTCATCATACCTCCCGATGCCATAGCATAGTGTGCATACTCTGGTATAGCTGGAGTGTGCCTCACAGTGACCATCGATGCAGTAGCACGCATACTCTGGTATGGCCGAAATATGGCTCATGGTGTTCCCCGATGACGTAGTATAGTGCGCATACTCTGGTAAAGCCGAAGTGTGCCTCATGCCTCACAATGGCCTCCGATGCTGCAGCATAATGTACATACTGTCGTATAGTCGGAGTGTGGCTCATAGTGCCCTCCGATGCCGTAGTTAACCACTTGCAGCTCTTCTGCCGTGTTCAAGCTCAACCCCGTCAGTTGTGCCACCCGACGCTCCACCTGGAGACAGTGACGTCGTGGTTAGAGCCGATGAGGTTTTGGTGACATCAGAACGTCAGAACTGTCGCGCACTGTACGTGTTTTCACCACAAAAACCACCAGCAAGGTTACACAGAAAACGCAAGCATTAACCAAAAGGGTTAATACAGTTACAGCGATACGCATGTCTCATGAATGCCGTCTCACTGACAAAGGCTCGGCTCCTGTGCAGAGCTCGTAAAATGCGATCCGGCAAAATAAAGATATGCAATGAATTGCTCCCTTTCTCGACCTTACGCCATTTGCTTTCAAGAGCAGAGACTCCCGCTATGCTGGCCTACTACTGGAGCAGGGAGCTGACTGACAGGCTGGCCCACAATTGCAGCAGGGAGCCGACTGACAGGATGGCCCACAATTGCAGCAGGGAGCCGACTGACAGGATGGCCCACCACTGGAGCAGAGAGCTGATTGACAGGATGGCCCACCACTGGAGAAGGGAGCTGATTGACAAGCTGGCCCACCACTGGAGCCTGGAGCCGACTGACAGGCTGGCCCACTACTGGAGCAAGGAGCCGACTGACAGGATGGCCCACCACTGAAGCAGGGAGCCGACTGACAGGCTGGCCCACTACTGGAGCAGGGAGCCGACTGACAGGCTGGCCCACCACTGGAGCAGGGAGCTGATTGACAAGCTGGCCCACCACTGGAGCAGGGAGCCGACTGACAGGCTGGCCCATCACTGGAGCAGGGAGCTGACTGACAGGCTGGCCCACCACTGGAGCAGGGAGCTGATTGACAAGCTGGCCCACCACTGGAGCAGGGAGCTGATTGACAAGCTGACCCACCACTGGAGCAGGGAGCTGACTGACAGGCTGGCCCACCACTGGAGCAGGGAGCTGACTGACAGGCTGGCCCACCACTGGAGCAGAGAGCTGATTGATAAGCTGACCCACCACAGGAGCAGGGAGCTGACTGACAGGCTGGCGCGGCCCCCGCCGCCCCCCCCCCCTCCCCCCGATCCGCACATACGTAGGCTGATCTGGGCTCTGTACGGGCCTCCGTTCAGCCCTTCTCTGGGCACCAGGAGAGCGCTGTAAACTTTGGTGACGAATGCGTACAGACAGCAGGCCGGCCCACTACTGCAACGTCATCCTCGCTGGTACCGCCGTGGTGCTGGCCACCGACTGGTAAGCGCGGCAAGCCTACTGGTGAGGTACTGACCCTGGTGACGACGCTGTGGTGCTCGCCGGTGAGCAGGGCAGGCCTTCTGATGCAATACTGACCCTGGTGACGACGCCGTGGTGCTGGCCGGTGAGCACGGCAGACCTACTGGTGCGGAACTGACCCTGGTGACGGCATCGTGGTGCTCCCGGTGAGCACGGTAGACCTACTGGCGCGGTGCTGATCCTGGTGACGGCGTCGTGGTGCTCCCGGTGAACGCGGCAAACCTACTGGCGCGGTACTGATCCTGGTGACGGCGTCGTGGTGCTCCCGGTGAGCACGGCAAACCTACTGGCGCGGAACTGACCCTGGTGACGGCGTTGTGGTGCCGGCTGTTGAGCCAGGCCGACTTGCTGATGCGGTAGTTTGCCGTCTCTAGCTCCCCGGTGTGGAAGTTCCTGATGGTAGCCCGCTGCAGCTGCCGTTGGCGGCGGGGGGGGGGGGGGGAGGGGGCAGCGGTCAGTGGGGAAGCGCCACTAGCTGGGTCATTGGCCTGGCTGTCAGGGTGTGCCGCTCCGCCCTCTGAGCCGCGCAATGTGACGGCCAGCAGCGAATTGATCACGTACGTACACACCTTGCGAGTGTAATTGCATTAGATTGTATGCACGCAGAGACAGACGGTGCCTGTTGTGGTGCGCTCGCCGACTGAAGACAAACTGAGGAGACCGCGCCGACAACATTAATGGTTTTCCATCACCCCAGAGGTCGGTCACACCGAGATGACGCCCGAGGACTCGCGATGCATGGTCCAACACCTGGAGTACAGGTGTGCAGTGTCATTCAGCTGGCTCACCAGGGGCGCCGAGACGTTTTTGATGGCCTCGATCTCGGAGTCGTGCATAACGTCATGGAAGAGGACGATGTGTGGGTCCAGGTACAGATCCTCTGTTGGCACCGGTCGGAGGCGAAGAAAAGCGACGCCGTTGTGAGAGTAGTAGCACCTGCCGCAGACACCGGGAAATGTTGGTAACACATCTCACAGATAGGAGGAAAGTCTGCATGTACAGCACACAGTATCCGGCTCCTGGATTCTCCACGCGCTCGGCACACGTCTGAAACGGCTCAGAATAGGTGCACGTAGCTGGGACAAGGAAGCGAATGACATGGGTTAACTCACTAAATCGGTTACTTCTAGCGGTTTCGATTGCACGCAAAACAATTTACAAGCCACCTTTCGATAATACGAAGCGAGAATACGGGGTGATGCAGCCCATGTCGGCGGTTACCGGTGTTCCGGCACGCCCGGGACCGGTGACGGCGAGACTGTGGGAGACGTTCACCTGGGCTCACTGTGCCAGACGCCCACCTGACCTCACCAGTCCAGGCGCTCACCTGATCTTACTATGCCGGGCGCTCACCTGAGCTCACTATGCGAGGCGCTCACCCGAACTCACTATGCCAAACGCTCACCTTGAGCTCACTATGTGAGGTGCTCACCTGAGCTCACTATGCCAAGCGCCCACCTTGAGCTCATTATGTGGGGTGCTCACCTGAGATTACTGCGAGACGCTCATCTGGGCTTACTAAGCCAGGCATTCACTTGAGCTCACTACGCGAGGCGCTCACCTGAGTTCAGTATGGAAGGCGCTCACCTGGGCTAATTATGCGAGGCGCTCACCTCAGCTCACTGAGCCAGGCGCTCACCTCAGCTCGGTATGTCAGGCGCTCACCTGAGTTCAGTATGGGAGGCGCTCACCTGAGCTCACCATGTGAGACGCTCACCTGAGCTCACTATGCCGGGCACTCACCTGAGCTAATTATGCGAGACGCTTACCTGAGCTTACTAAGCCAGGCGCTCCACTGAGCTCAGTATGCCAGGCGCTCATCTGAGCTCAGTATAGGAGGCGCTCACCTGAGCTCACTATGCGAGGCGCTCACCTGAGCCGCTTGAGGACGCTAGGTGCCAGCGGTAAGTGACCTCGACACAACGCCCGGTACAGCCGGTTCTCTGTTTCTAAGTGGTCCGCCAGCGACTCTGAGACCTGCAGCGAACATGGCGCCTCAGCTGCACCGGTCAGCGGTACATACGGCAGCCACGAGCAACAACGCTCATTAAGATCTCGAAAAATGCACTTCTGGAAAGGCGTGTCATGGCGCTTGATGACGAGTAGCAATGGTGCACCTATGCTCTTAATGTCATCCATAAGATGATCGAACATGTAAACATACTGGATCGATGTTTGAAATAAAAAGGTGATGTTGAAAAATTTGAGGACGCGTTGCGAAGATACAGGGTAAAGTGGTTAACATGGATAAGCGAGTGTGTCTTTTTCCCAACGCACAAAATACACAATAGCATCCTGTAGCCGATAGACACTTTGCCCACTATTCGCCGCAAAGCGTAGTTGGAAAATGTTCTTGTCGCTTCATTTGGAGGCATACATCAGAAGGTTAAGACCAGGCTGCCTTCGGCGCGCAAAGCTCCGTGCTCACGTGGTCCACATCATCTGTTGTCATCGACGGTAAGTCTGGTTTGGCGACATCGGCCTTTCTCTTCATCTCTTGCAGCTCCCTTTCAAAGGCCACCTGCCACGTCACAGGGGGGCGCAGCAACAGCGTTATCTTTCACAGATTATTTTCAACGACTATTTTCAGCCTTTATACGCCTCCACCATCAACAAAACACTATTCAGGCGCTGCTTTCTTAATCAGTGGCCCATCTTGGCGTTCTGTACATACTAAAATGGACGGCACTATGAGTTTTGAGGTGGGTGCAGAGCTTTCCGGAGGGTCTCCTGGAGAAAATCGGGCTTCCTCAGTCCTCCTAGTGCGACATCATATAGAGGGTACAACTACAACTACTACAAAAACATACTTTCACACACCGGAGGGCAACTTCCCCCTCTGCTCCCCCCCCCCCCCCCCCGTCCCCTGCTGCGCCCCTGCTGCACACGAACCACGATGTGCAAATTGTGAGAGCATCCTCGCCATCACAGCAGCCTCCGCGCGTCTTCCACGACTTACCACGTTGTCACGGGCGACCTTATGGGCGGGGTCCACCTGCAGAAGGTCACGGGTTAAGGCCAGCGCGCGCGCCGTGTCCCCCATCCGATAGGTGGCGAAGGCCAGGTACTCGAGCGGCTGGGCCGGCGACAGCGGCGGGCCGCCAATCAGCGTCGTCGCCAGCGGCGAGTGGGCAATCAGCGCCTCTCGCTGGCTCCGGTGCCACGCCTCCTCCAGCCAGGGTCGGGCGTGCCTGCACGGCGGGGTTGTGACACGGTCCGGACGGGGCGGGCTGTATCATGCGATCACGATCACTCACGAATCACACGCACAGGCTGTTCAAGCATTGGCTTCAGTGTGCTCTGGCCATGATCATGTGACGGAAAAGGCGCCGTCAGATCGCAGCCAGGACACGACCGGGTCATGGTCATGTCACTGTCAGGTCGCAGCTGGGTCAGTCCGGTCACTTCCATATCACTGTCAGGTCGCAGCTGGGTCAGTCCGGTCACTGTCATATCACTGTCAGGTCGCAGCTGGGTCAGTCCGGTTACTGCCATATCACTGTCAGGTCGCAGCTGGGTCAGTCCGGTCACTGCCATATCACTGTCAGGTCGCAGCTGGGTCAGTCCGGTCACTGCCATATCACAGGCTTGTTATATTCAGGCAACACCAGAGTCCCAGTCACGTCATAGGCAAAACCCAGGGCACAGTCAGGTCAATTTAAGGTCACAAAAAGGTGCCGGCAAGGTCACAGCAAGGCCAAATCCAGGTGGCTGATGTCAAGTCATGTTACAGATCCTATTCGGATCACCATCAAATAATAATGACACATTTCCTTTAACTTCTTTTTTAAAAGGAAACGAGACGTATGCGCCACGTCCCTTTTATGGCGCGCAAACGACTGCATTAACCATATTGGGGGTGCGTGCAGGGATGTGGCTGGTTAACCCACGGGTATGGGGAGTCTCTCACCCGAAGTCTCCGAGGAAGTAGCACTCCCTGCCCAAGACGAAGCAGTCCCAGGCGGTCAGCTCTCGGCCCAGACTGCTCCCGGGAATCTCACCACGGGCGAAATCTGCAGGCGACGATCAGAAGGTCCTGGGTTCGATCCCCATCATTGGTAACTTTCACCAGCAGGTGACATCACTTTCGACACCGTCATAAGTCATTCCTTGCGCACCATGGCACGCCGTGTGCTTCATGCTTGATACACATATGTACGCACACGCATATGTGACGTGTTTGACACACGTGCTTACTCCCCCTCTCCCTTTGCACCACTCGATTCTAAGTCCAGCGAACACTGCGCTCCAGTAACTTCGCAAAGATCCAGGCGGTTCAGCGAGTGTCATGGCGTGCTACCTTAATGTCGCATCGAGCCGAGCACGAGAACGTGTCATATTGAACAAAACTGGACTAGGGAGTCAGCTAAGAATGAAGTGTAATGACCGTCACTCCAAGAGAACACAATTTGACATCGCCCTGAGCTTTCAAGCTACTTTGCCCGGCGCCACGGGAATGATTGGCATAGATGACCCAGTTTTGGTGTCAGCACTTCAGCCTAGACGCAGCATTTTAGGGCCTGAGCTGGTTTAAGCCGAGTACCCCAGCGTGCTAAAATTAGCGATGCACCGCCCGCACTGTTTATAAATACTAGCTTTCCCAGCGGACAAAATCCCAGCGGCCGGTCTCGGCAAGCGGCCAGTGCCGCAAGTCCCTGACAATACGCACGACTTCAACACCGTGGTGCGTGCGAAGCGGTGTACCCACCAAATGTGTCGAGCTGGTACGTGTCTTGAAGCCTGACCAGAGCCTGTGCAGCGCCTGATAGGTCCTCCTCATTCGGGAGCCGGAGATCAGCAAACGAAGATGTCACGCCTTTCAAAACGGCTGTCGAAATTGGTGATGCATTATCTATGTTATCATGCAGCGCATCATGGAGTGTGAACATATACATCAAACACACTTGTCGATCTGTCCACTAAGCCAGATGCTAACCGAACTGTTCTGCATGACTCCAACCAGGAAAGTCGCGATGGGACCGGGGGCTAGCATCCAAGAGCGGCATTCTCCTTTTCGTTCGAGTCTCGCCAGTCCCACCGGCGACCGATAACGTCTCACCGCGATCTGACGTCTCGGGGCCGACCGAACCCTCGGAGAGCAAAGGCGTGTATTATGCGAGGCCGGCCCAAAAGTGAAGCTTGACCCCAACCGGCCAACACTACTGAAACGAATTATTCAAGTGACGAAAGTTTAACAAACCGCAGTTAAACAAGTGCTGTTCTAAGAGTCGCACCAGCGAGTTAGCGGACCAGCCTCCAAGCGCTACCCTGCCGCTGCCGTTACTCTAAGCAGCAGGTCACAGCACGTTAGATTCGAGGAGCATTTTGCGCCGTTCACCGAATCAGTGACGTCTGCAGCAACAGCAACGACAGCCTTCTATCTCTCTTTGCTTAAAAGAAACATTGGGGCGAGTAGAATATGACGTCAAAATGTGGACCCTGGCGATCGCCTTTTGAGCTTGAGGTCAGGTCAAAATCTGGGTTACCAATGCTGAGCAAATATGACATACTGTGTGCGTGTCCCGTCTTGACATCATCCCGTACCGAAGCTCCCAAAATCTAAGGCGATTCCTTGGTCTTGAAAGCCAAAAATCTGGGATCTTTGGGAGCCTCTATATTCGCATGCCAAGTTCCCACACCATAACTACGGATTCCCACTATTGATCTAAATTGCCCACTGTTACTCGTTCTCAACCAAATTCGCTAAAGGAGTCATCTCCTGCTCTGGACAGAACATCAACATATGGGACATTGATTTTTTGGCCTCTAGCTGTTTTGTTGAACGTTCCAGGTTATAAGTGGTGATTGGTTGTGATTTTTTGGTCCTGTCTATTTTACGAATCATTGCACCGGGTGAATAAAAAATCACGCTTCGCGCACCATCATTGACCAAATTACCAAGTTCTCGAGGTTATATCAGGACTTTGACGAAATGTGGAAATCGGGGATGTCCTTTTTTACACTCGGAAATCTATCATTAGGTTATCTTGTACCGGACTCTAAGGGCTTTCAGTCCATAACCTGACTCTAAAAGGCCAAAATCAGAGGCAGCAACTCCTCGCCCCTGAATGAGATTCGCAAATCATCGCACCGACTGCTTTTAAGATCGGAAAACATTAAAATATGAGCTACTGGTGTTGGGTTCCAAAACATGCTTAACAAATCGTTGAAACCGTTGGCTCTGAAAGTCCGTTTTTGGTTTTTTTATCGCGCTAAGCTAGATCTCTGAGGTTTAGGCTGGCCTTCATCTTCGCCTCAAACGAATGTCAAATCCCGGGATGCCGATTCCTTTGCTCCAACGTATGTTTTGCGAACCATCGTCCTGGGTGAAAACGAAAGCCTGTTTGCTATAGATCGTACTGAATCGGATTTCCAAGGTGTCAATTTCACGTTTTGGCCTCGAACTTGAGAAAACGTCAACTTCCTGAGTATCGGTTTATGTCCGATATCATTTACGACTTGCTTTCATGCTCGTCTGGTATGATGATTCACGAGGGTAGGGCACGAGGGCAGGAATTATAACAACGAAAAACTGTGCCCACATTGCAACATTTTTGATAGTCATTCCTTGACCTCTAGAAAAGTCTAATTTCGGACATCCGTGTTAAAACTTTAGACGGCACACAAGATGTCACGTGCACTTGGTGCGACGATCCGTCGTTCAGAAGCCATCAATCCGAACACAGACTCAAATCGACGCCCCATATTTTGTTCATACATCAGTGTTAAACGGTGACCTTAGGAAGGCCGCCCACTTCCAAGCCCAATCGTCTCGCCTTACTTAAAGCACTGAACCCCGTTATAAGGCTGTCGTTGTAGATGACGTGGCCGATTTGATGACGCTGTTTGTCCCGCAGTCCCGCAGCGTGCAGCTTTGCAGCTGAGGTCCACACGCCGCGCCGCTGCAGCCTGCGTACGCTCACTTCGACCGGCGCTCTCCGTTGCCATGTCGAGCGTCTCTTGCCAGTCAGCTGTCAGCCGTTTTACGAGAAGGAAGGCTCCGAGAGGGTTCTCCAGGTGGCCGTCAGTGTTCTCCAACAGCTCCGTGTGCCGATGCTCGTACCACGCCAGTCTCCTGACAACGTTTGACACGAATTCAGGTAAATAGTTACGCAGAAACCTCCCTTAAACCCAAGAGATTGATAGTCTCTGCTGACGTTCTGACGATGAATAACCATATATGATAACTGAGCGCACAAAGATCGTACAAGTCACTGCATGTTGAGCTGTTTCACACCGGTGAGCCTATGTCGTGACTTTTGTTGGAGCCACTTTTCCAAGCTGTCCACTGTTGAAGCCAGTGCACCGTTCTCGAACAGCTTACTGTTGGCGCTACTGTATCCTGAGCTGCTTACTGTTGGCGCCACTGTATCCTGAGCTGCTTACTGGTGGAGCCCCTGTGCCCTCACCTGCTTACTGCTGGAGCCGCTTTTCCCTCACCTGCTTATTGCTGGAATCGTTGTATCCTAAGCCGCCTACTGTTGGAGCTGCTGTATCCTGAGCTGCTTGCTGTTGGATCCGCTGTATCCTGAGCTGCTTACTGTAAAAGCCGCTGTATCCTGAGCTGCTTACTGTTGGAGCCGCTGTATCCTGAGCTGCTTACTGTTGGAGCCGCTGTATCCTGAGCTGCTTACTGTGGTGGCCGCTGTATCCTGAGCTGCTTACTGTTGGGGCCGCTGTATCCTGAGCTGCTTACTGTTGGAGCCGCTGTATCCTGAGCTGCTTACTGTTGGGGCCGCTGTATCCTGAGCTGCTTACCGTTGGAGCCGCTGTATCCTGAGCTGTTTACTGTTGGAGCCGCTGCATCCTGAGCTGCTTACTGTTGGGGCCGCTGTATCCTGAGCTGCTTACTGTTGGAGCCGCTGTATCCTGAGCTGCCTACTGTTGGAGCCGCTGTATCCTGAGCTGCTTACTGTTGGAGCCGCTGTATCCTGAGCTGCTTACCGTTGGAGCCGCTGTATCCTGAGCTGCTTACTGTTGGAGCCGCTGTATCCTGAGCTGCTTACTGTTGGGGCCGCTGTATTCTGAGCTGCTTACTGTTGGAGCCGCTGTATCCTGAGCTGCTCGGCCTGTATAATGCGCTGGAGTGTGTCGATGACGACTCGTTCCGTGTCCACCAGGTGATGGAGGTCAGCCAGCGCCGAGAAGACCTCCGCCTGGCCTGGCCCCGCCGCCGACAGCAGCGCCAGCACTGGCAGCAGCATGCTGAGCGGCACACGACAACGTCTCACGTCAGAAGCGACAGCAGCCTGCGGCACGGCGCGGTGCTGGGGCAGAACTGACGGCTTACTGAACAGAAACGGCGCCGTGTTGCGACAGAACTGACGGCTTACTGAGCAGAAACGGCGCGGTGTTGCGACAGAACTGACGGCTTACTGAGCAGAAACGGCGCGGTGCTGCGACAGAACTGACGGCTTACTGAACAGAAACGGCACGATGTTGCGTCAGAACTGACACCTAATTGAACAGCAACGGCACGATGTAACGGCAGAACTGGCAGCCTAATGACCAGAATACGACGCGGCGTATAAACCGAAAACGGCAAATGGTATGGTGCTGCAGCAAAACCGATAACGCGCTGGTGAGGACACCGCACGATGCAACGGAGCGGCTGATAGCTTACCTACCAGGGTCACAGCAGCGCACACTAGAACAGATAGGAGCGTTTGCTCCAGTCGACGTTAAGTGCTCTTGGTTATCACACTGGGCGCCATTGCTGTCTGAGATATCCAGTTGGCTTTTGAGCATTATCGCATCGGCACGGTGCGATGAGTATGCGCCGATTGATGCATGCATACAGCATGTGGTCCGTGTGTAGTGCGCAGAGTATACGTACGACCCACGCTCGCGAGTTTGGCTGTGATTCAGCATCGCGTTTGATTGTGCTCTGCGTTCGCTGTTCCGATGCAAACAGCAGTGTTCTCAGGACTTCGTAATGTGGTCGGGCGACGACGGGTTTAGAGGTCATCTAGTCAGAGATCGTCTAGTTTTCTTCTCAAATAGCTGTTGTAAGAACTGACTGTATGAACGATGTTAATATTTTCAGTGGCGAAATTTCCATCGTTTGCACACGACCCTGCGAAATACTGAGGGCTTACCTTCTACATGTGATAAATAATGACTTCATCGAGATCACTTTGCCATGTTACTCGCATGTCCCGAGAAAATGTCGGATATCATGCAGTTGCCGTTGAGTATGTGTTCTTAAGGGTATTCCTGCGTTGGTTTACCGAGCTGTATTATGCTGTTTGATGATGGTATACCAAAGAATGCAGAATGCACCAAGCAATTGAGCCTGTATGTCAACACTGCTTTACCTACATCGGCTTGGTATGAAATAACTTAGACCATATAAATCCATATTGTACGCAGGTTGAAAGACGCCATTTAGCATCATGGTTCGTTCTGTTGTCGCACAATGCACTTCGTTGCCGCATCATGCTGAAATTTTGCAATAGCGGGGCGGAGCCCACGCACACACAGCTGGAGACCCCACGCGCGATTTGCCGCATGCTTTGTGGCAGCTCCTGTCCGCTGATTAGCTGATATCGGTGCATGAATTGGTGTGCTAGGGACCATGCCGTAATGATTCCCCTGGGGTGCCGATAGTGCAGTGCTAACGCGTCTACGTTAACCCCTGCTCGTCTGGGAAAGCAGAAGTAATGGGTTCGATTCCCCGCAGCGCCCGCCCTTCCCGCCAGGGTGAGAGGCAGGCGACGTCATATAGCCTCAGCAGCTGAGTGCGTCGTGAAATCCCGATGCCGATAACGCAGTGATTCTCCCACGGTCGTGTCGTGCATGGTTCTTAAAACGAAAAGCGGCCGGGAGTTCTGACTGGTTTTGCGAGCGACGATCGCGACGATTTACGCGTGGCGCTAGCAGGCTCAGCTTTTTCTTGTCTGGAGATCTTTGGGGCCCCCGTCCGGAAAGACCAGAAAAATATCAGTCGGACGAGAGCCGTCCGGATCAGTCTTGCGTTGAAGATCAAAGCAATAATTGAAGTACAAAAAGAGTCATTTGTCATCTCGCTGTGAGGCATCACGCGAACTGAGAACTAGGTTGTGCATGGCTCACAAAGGCTGCGGATCATTCTGGAGGCTCCTAACCGCGTCTAAAACACACGGCTGGCCTAGCACACTAACCAAGGAGGTGCCGCTGAAGTGTAAGGTTGCATCATGCATGTCAGTGAGCACCAGCACGTCGACAGGGCGCCTTAATAGTTAATCGGCAATTCACAGGCCAATTTGCTTCCCGGTTTTGGTGCCTCCACTCACAACAAACGTAACGAACATTGTAACGAACAGACGGCAACAAAATGGTACGCTTCCACGCTGTGCAATTACACTGCGTCATGGAGAACTGTGAAATTCCTAGAAGCAGCGCTGTTTAGGATTTCCAGGCATTGGGAATGGAAGACCCGCTGAACCAGTCGCTGCACCCGCCGTGCCGTGGCTGCGCCCCGCCGTGCCGGACAATAACGGCCGGAGAAGATCCCGGCGCCGTCAAACCGGACTGGACCTGCGGATAGCGATGGTATCGGACCGCACGCCCAGGTGGTGCGGGACCGAGGCCAGGATTGCACCGCGTTGTGGCGAGAGTGGCGGGATCAGCGGGCGCGATGACTGCCGTGCCGTTGTTCTGGCACTGGGGTCTAGCGCTCCGCGGCCAATACCAACACTTCGGCCAGTGACCTGGCCACGACTGGGTATGTGCGCAGAACCCTGGCTTGATTTCACTCTTCCAGCGTCGAGAAGACGGGAGGTGGTGTCCGATACATGTGCGTTTTGTCATGCGTTTGAGCTCGCTGTTGTTGGTCAGTAAAAGACGGCCGCCCTTCCATAGTTCGCATTCGTGTTGGATGCAGCTACTGAGCTGAGGCAGCTAGCCAACGAAGCATCCGGTACCCTGCATAGATTTTGTACCACAGGGGGAGAGAGAGAAAAATCCTCCCATTGTTTCGAAATGAAGTTTGTCTTCTCCAATTTTGCCTACATCATGCACGTGCTTACATCTTCCCATTCGGAATTGCACGTTTTCAAGCTAGATTATCCCTGATTCCAGTTCGACCTTCCATTCCTGGTTTGTTCCCCCCACCCCCCATCACCAATCCCAGAGACGTGGTTACCCGCAAGACTGATTGCACGGGACCGGCCGGAGCCAGCCGGGCAGTGTGCTGCAGAGTCGCCAGTCCGAGCCCGGGCGAGGACGCCGCCGGCCCTGGGGCAGCGGTCCGGTACACCGGATGTAACCGCGCGTGACGCATGACGCCCCGCGGGCGGACCGTGAACTCTGGACGGGCCGACAACACGTGCCCTTCCAGCGCGTCCGGCGCCGGGGGCTGAGTCAACAGGCTTCCGATCCGAGGAGCATCCTCGGTACTGACAACCAACTAAAAACGTGGCGCAGGATACCCGGCGCACGGTTATTTACGTGCGGGTGGGAAGGAAGCCAGGTGTGTAGTCGCGAGCTAGTAAGGTATACGCTTGTTATGCCTTTCTGGGCTCAGGGCGACAGCAGTGTGATCATCGGGAGATGCTGAGCGGGATGATGCTGAGCGCTATAGCGGGAGATGCTGAGCGCTATGTTGACAGACTTTGCAAATCCTCGATAACGGACAATAGAGTGGATCACAATTAGGTCAACAATGAAACAGTTCAGCCCATGTTTGTGCAAGAACGCCCATCGCTTGCGCTTGCGCAAGAACGCTTTGCAGAATAAAATTGTGGAACAGATAACGTGGCGAGTTGAGCTTGCGCGCTCGCAATCTTAGAATCCAGAGCAGTTATGGCCGGAGCTGGAGTTTCCGTAGACGTTCACGGCATTGGCTGCTCCGGATAACACGAGGTGGTGAGCGCCGGGCGCGTAAGAACGACCATCGTGAAATAACGCTTTGGAAAGTTTTTCAAAAGCGACGTGTCCGGTTCAAAGATAAGACGGATGCAATCTATTTTACCTTTATCATTTTGAGAATGTCCCTTAAACAGATGAACTGTTACAGCTATACGAAAACTGGAATTTGTTTCCTTTCTCTCCCAGTTTTGTCACCGGATTCTAGCGCTGGTTCGCGATGCTGTAAATGCTCATCCACTCTTACTTCAATCTAAAAATTGCACAGTTGAAATAGACACGGCGAATGCCTTCTATAAGCAGGAACTAATGTCTTAAAGTATTCAAAGGTTCTGATTTCAGACGCCTCGTCATTTTCGTCCGTCCGTTGGCTGTCCCCTAGTGTTGGCCGCAGGGACGACGCGGGGGGCGTGTTTCTAAGACTTGCGAGCACGCATGATACCAAACTATGTCGTGTCATTGTTACCACTAGTCGATTCTGACGGAATCGCTCAGCGAAAAACAGAATAGCACCTTATCTTAGCTTCTAGTTTCTGTTCTAGTAAACAGGCAAAAATATAACTAAAACGAAGACAATCATGCTCTTCTCCAACTTAAATGGATCAAATCAGTTCCTTGGGGGAAGAGGCTTTCACCATCAGGGAGTCCTTTGCCAACCCGGTGCCCCCCCCCCCTCCCCCCCCCCACGCCCCTCATCTTATCATGGCTCTGACTGCTCCCCTGGCAGTTGCTGCAGTTCCTGAACAGGTTAAAAACCTGTCACGTACCTGAATCAGATGCGTCTGAGTTTTTTCGCCAACCAGAATTTCGGAATAAGCCCTGCCGCACGCATCATCTCAAGGCCTCCGGTCTGCCCGTGACGCACGACTTACGCTTGGTGATGCAGACTGTGGCCGGGCAACGGTCCTCGCCAAAACTCGCAGCCAAGGGGGGAAATACTGAGTCATGTCCCCCCCCCCTTTGTTAAGTAGACAAATAGACATAATGTTCATAAAACTGTGTTTCGTCGTGAGCATATCGAATGTATACAACATATATAACAAAAATGTTTCAGCGCAAGGTCATCGAACGCACATCAAGTGCATTCGTGCCAGGGCGATAGGCAGGCGACGCCATGTAGCTTGAGAAGCTGGGTGCATCATACAGCCCTGAAGACAAAGCGCTAGGCACTGGCTGACAAGCAGTAGCGCAGATAGGGGAGACACCAGGGGCGCGTGCCACCCCCCCCCCCCCCCCTCTCCCACCTCCGTAGGTCCCAAGAGGTCCCTTTAGCCCCTCGGTACAAACTATAAAGAACCCAGTTCAAGGGCCCAAGGGGCCTGAATGCTGGCTGGGGTTGTATTAGAAAGACAGTGGGC